CAAGGTGACCCAACAAAACAACTGGCGAAAAAATATATAATAAAATTCATCTTAGTAATTTCACATCGATAATCGATAAATACCTTAAAACTAAAAGGAACGATCCATCCGTCTCTGGTCTTACAAAAGAATTGAGCAATTCAAATAATACAATCTTGAAACACTCAACCATCCAGCACAGCCGTAATCGTCAAAACTCTAGTGTTGTATATACATAAGCATGCAACGGTGTAACTGAATTAAATTGTAAACTCGAAAAAACAATGAAAAAGGCAACATCTAGAGAACTTATGCACAGTACTAAAATCTTTGAACATCCCGAGTTCTAGATGCCTAGAACAACCAGTGTTTCCTCCTTGGTTTCTGTTGAATTGGAGCGTCTGCAAAAAAGACACCCAACTAAGATATTAACCAAACTCTCTCCTTGTACTGCAGTTTACACCTATAAAATGAGCCTCTTTCTGATGTAAATCAAATAAAAACACAGAAAAGAAACAAAAGAAAGACACCTCGGGTTTCATATAATGAATTGTAATGAACCTCGGACCAAAAACTCAGCCACAACTCTGCATTGTTTAGAAGGAAAAATAAGAATGTTAGAATCTGAAATTGTCCTATAGCATTTTACAAGACTATTTTTCATCTAAATCTACAACTACGAGACTAGAGGATCTCCTTTATTTATTTATTTATTTTTTTTCATTTCAATGAGCATAAAGGAGCAAAGGTACTTCCATCTTACCACATTTTGGTGGCTGGTACTGAGGCATAATTTCAATATAGCAAGTATCTCTGAATGATGTCAAAAGGCAAATCTTTGCTGAAAACTGCATCCAACCAAGATTACGAAACATCATAAACTACAAGAGAAGATATTGCATAAACACTATGCCAACAAGAAACTTTCCAAGTTGTGAGCACTGGTCTACGTTTTTTTTTTTTTTTTTTATTTCTACAAAAAAATAAATTATGTACTAATATTTGAACTATTGCATCATTTTTCAATTTTTTTTTTTTTTTTTTTTTGTGCAACTAAAGATTCAATATCAAGTTCCATTTCAAGCTCATGAAGAAATATTTCCAGTTAAACTGAAAAAGTCTTGATGCCATCATCAATAAGTATATTAATAAAGCTAAGATAAATAACCAATGAGTACAAATCAACCACAATGAAAATACGAGAAAATAATGAAAATAAGAATGATATGCCGACTACTAATCTACAGAGAGAAATTCAGATCCATTGGGACAAATGTAAAAGACCTTGTCAGCTGCTGCTTGTAAGGTAACATGATCTCCCCATTCACCAGATCTGCATCATGTGGAAATTAAAAGTGAATACAAACCTGCTGTACCGAAAAACAGATGAAACTAAGCCAGAATTCATGCATGCAGACAGAAGCTTGTTGATCAAATAACCGAACTAATGACCCTAAAAAATTTGACATACTTTGCCATTTTCTTGTGATAGCGCTTGTACTTCATAGGGACATAGCCTTCATACAAAGAACGATAGTCTTTGAGCTGGAAACAGGAAAAGTAGTGCACGACAAGCATACTCAAATTCGGCATCCACTTTTTTGTTCCCCTTTAAACTAATCAAAGAACTGGTAAAATAATGTTGAAAATGAGACAATGTGGCACTGAAAGGTCACTATAGATTCTGGTCATGATAATTATGCTTTGTAGAGAGAAAGGACACAGGTAGCAGTAGTTGTGAGAGCAAAGAAAAGTGGCTTTGGCATTATACCACCCAATGGTTACAGGAGTGGTAAAGGTGGTGACTGCGGAGGTGACAATATGGTGGATGGAGGTTTACTTTAATCAAAATATGGCGATGGCCAGCAGTGGTAACAGTTTCCATTATCTCCTTAATTGATCCTTCATTTCATACCAATGGATCTCCGGTCCATTTTCTAGCCATCTAAAATTTTGTTCCTGCTATAGCAATTGGTTACTTCATATACACTCTACCTGCTTCACAATCTCTTTTCGAACATGTTTGTGATACTCTGGAGATTTGTACATCTGGTCTGAAAGTGCACGAAACTGCAAAACAATAAGAAAAGAAATCAATTTAACTTAAAAATGACATACCTATTATTTTGGATTTTCAGTATTGCAGATACCTGACAATTTCCATCACCAGAAACCTTTACTTCATATAAACTATGGACATGTAACCTGCAAGGAAGTAATAAGAAATTCACTAAACTATCAGCCAAGAAGAAGTTAAACAGAAGTGTGGAGAATACAAAACAGATATTTACTTCTAGTCCGCCAATATGCTGAGTACAGAGTTGCATCACACTCAATGCCTAAATGAGATTAGAAATAAATTTATCTACAAACTAACATGTTGTTATAGATTAAAGTATTGTAATACAAGCATAATTTGAGTACAAACATCAACCCACACCCAAGGGTAAACTACCTCTCCTATTAATAATACCAACAGGTCCAACACCCCAACAAACATGGTAATAAAATACATCATTTTCAGGACTGTATGTGGTTTTCTATGAGTTGCAAAAATGAATATCCAAAGTGAGGTTTGCCAATACCTTCAGCCATTTCCAAGTGCGAGCTTACGTGGTTTTTTTTTTTCCTTTGATACAAGAAGAAAGGGGAAGAAGATTGATACAAGAAGTTATAATACCTTTTAGGAAAGTAGTCAACCACAAAATAACCAGTCCATATTTCTATTCTGAAGCGTAAACATACCTCTGGAGAAGGCATTGGTGATCCAAACCAGCATCACTTATATTGGGGATGTAGGAATTTACCCGTGGAACATGCTGGAATTTTGCAAAAGATATCATAATATCAGATATAAAGGTATGAATGAAAAGAGTGAATTGAGGGGGGAGAAAGGAAATTTTCAATACAGGAACAGGTGCCAGGTTGGAAAGGCGTCTAGCAACTGAACCATCTAACTTAGCATACTCTTCTGATAGATGGTACAACAGCAATCATGCAGTCATCCTCAACATCCTGATGGCCGCTCAAGGAAGTTAAGCTAGAACATTTGTCAACACTGTGAGTCCCGTTCATCATAAACTATAGTCTGTTTCAAATTCTTCACACTGAAAACAAGTACCAGAATGAGCTTATAAGCTGAGTAGCCTAGTTTGAAAAGCTAACAAGAGTTTACAACCTTCCAACAAAAGTGAATTCACAACCAATAAACAAAGATATGGCATATTTCTTAATTGTGGGTAAGATTGGTCTTATACAATTGCAATATATAAATGTAAAGCTATGCTAGGCTTGCCGAAATGTGCACTGTCAATTAGTATCGGGTAAGATTGTTCTTAAAAGTTTGTTTGAGTGATGGCAATTAAGAGTAGTAAGACATGGCTGAATGTGGGTCTTTTCTTTTCCTTATCCTCATCATTAATAATGTCCAAGTGCAATAAAAGAATGAACTGAATAAATCATGCCATACAAACTCAAACATGGAAGATTCAGATTGGATACGAACAAACAAACAAACAAACAAACAAACACGATAGATATTTGGAAACTGAATATGAACCTGGAATTGGAATTGGAATTGGAAGGCGAAGAAACAAACAAACGATTCTTTTAATGCTCAACCGAAATATCAAATCAATTCAATGGAAAACAGAAAGAAAAACAAGTTAGAATCTTGAATGATTCCTCCATCTTGACATTCCGCTGTATTTTCTTCTTTTTATTAAATTAATAAAATTATACCGCGCGCGTAGGTTCGTTAGTTAGATTTTCAAGCACCGGATACCAGGTACGGGGCATCCCCACCCTGATTCGCGATATTTTATATTTCCATTTTGTCCTCCGAATTTTGACTTACATCACTTGGTCCCTCAGAATTTCAAGACGTTCCATTTTCTGTTGCTTATTTCCGTATGTATTCATTTCCAGTAGGGTGCGCACTTGGAACCGAAAATCGAAACTTAAACACGAATCAAATTGAACCGAACCGAACGGTTCGGTTTTGCAGTTTTAAAACGGTTGCAGTTTCGAAACCAAACCGTAGTTAGGAAAACGGTTTGGTTTCGGTTTTGGGTTTTCAAAACCAAATCGAAATCGAAACCGAAACCGCACCATATAGTAAATGTCATGTTTTAATTGATTCTTTATTAGAGTCCATACATTTATAGTATAGACTCAACTACACAGTGTATGCCATAGTCCGGCGGCAATGTTTTTCACTTTAGTTTCTGACAATGATTTCACATAACTTGGTCTTAGCTGATCTATTGTATTCCCTTACCCGCACTGGATCAAAATGGGAAAAGAAGAGAAATGCAGCAGGTAAATAACAAGAACGAGAAAAGGAAAATGCGGTTCTAATTGAAAATCTAATCAGTAGTACTCCTAATTATCAAAGTATACAAGAAGAGCAATCAATTCTCTCAATTCCGCTCAAAGAGCATAAGACCTTGACTAGCATAGTGTAAAGGCAAGCCCCGCTTTAGCATAAGACCTTGTGCTCGTCCTAAACAACCAGCACAAATCTGTAAAAGCAGGCCCCCTTTAGCTACCAGTTTTGGAATATGGTTGCTACCGTGACCGGAGAAAAAAAGCACTCAACATTTTCCCTTCCTTCTCGGACCAAAATCAGAAGAACCAAAAATCCAAGGAGAAAAAAGAAAAAAATTCTCAAAAACCGAACCGAAACCGTTTGAAACCGCACCAAACTGCACCGCGTCCACGCCTAATTTCCAGCCATTTTTTTTTTAACTAAATGATGTGTCATCAATAAGAGATAAACACATGAACCAACACTTAATAATCCAATTATCTATAATCACATCATTTAGTTTGCAAATTTAATTTTCAAAATTTGATTTCCTTAGGATTACTCTTTTTGCCAAATCCACCTATCACCGTCTCCTAGCAAGACCCTGTCTCAATTGAGGTTGTTTGTTTGATGTTAAGGATTGAATTGAATATCAACGAAAAAATTGAATGGCAACCAACGAATGCTAATATTGTCGTAGAAGACAAATTAGTCAACATTTCAAAGCCATTATCCATTTCAATCCAATCTTAGACACCAGGACCTTGGATCGAGCTTGAACGAGATCAAATTTAATTCGTTTCAGTTCAATTTGAAGGCACGAGATGACAATAGTTGTTGTAAACAGCCTATCTACAAACTCAAATCACATGTATTCGCAGCCAAATTTCACACACACACATCTCCATTGCAAGTGCAAACAGCTGCTTGGCTGTAAAGCCTGAAATCCGCAAACTATCCCTGCTAATCGTATTATAATCCATAACCACCCAGCAAAATCTTGTATTAGCAAGAATGACATTGCAGCGTTACTCTGTTTTGGTAAATGTATCTAACTTAACCAATTCCCTGAATCCAGAGTAATATGGAATAGAACAATACGAAATTTCATCAATCATGCTTTCTCTTTCTCTGGCCTCCGCCAATGGAGTATGGGCGTGCCATATACCGTGAATTAACAAGCTCCCGAGGTATAGCTGCACCAGAAGATCTCAAAACTTCAACTAATTCTGGAAACAAGTTCTTATTCTCCTCACTCACAAATACAATTGCTGTACCCTCTTCTCCCAATCTAGATGCTCTACCAATCTGATGGACATACTCCTTGACGGAGTTGGGCATGTCAAACACAATAACCTGTCTCACACTCAGGAGATCAACCCCACGGCCTAAAATCCCAGTGGCTACAATAACAGGAACCTCACCCATTAAGAAAGAGCTCATGATATCTCTCCTCTCTTTCATGGATTTCTCCCCATGGATCGACAAAGCTTTCACCCCAGTGGTGACTGTAATTGCACTAGATAGGAGATCTGCCCCAAGTCTTGATCCCACATAAACCACCACAGGCGGCATAAAATGCTGCTTGCTCATCAATATGTCAAAAAGCTTTTGCTTTTTTTGCTTTGACTCAACCCAGATGGGTAGTTGCTTCACAGCCTTATTTGGCCTGTTGGGATTGCCAACAAAGACTACGGCAACATCTTTTGCCATACAGCTTGCCATCTTCTCTATATCTGGGGAGACTGTTGCAGAATACAGTAAAACCTGGGGTTGCGATAAAGCCCTAAATATCTGCATTACCTGATCCCGGAAGCCCCTTTGAAGCATGCAGTCCACTTCATCAAGTGCGAAAATCCTTACATCATCCAGTTCTATATCATTCTTCGTTAAAAGATCTATCAGCCTGCCCGGAGTTCCCACAATGAGCTCCACTCCTTGCTGAAGGCGGTGAAGTTGTCTGGCCATTGCATCACCACCAACCACGAGTGCTGTTTTAAAAGGCAAACCCCTTCCGAGCAACTTAGCCTGCTCCTCAACTTGTATGCAGAGCTCTCTGGTTGGTGTTAGAACCATTGCTAATGGCCTCTTTTGGTCTGTGGACTGCTGAAAGCGAAGGTTTGCACAAAGAGAAACAATTGGAACCAAAAAGGAAGCAGTTTTACCAGAGCCCGTCTCAGCAGAAACAAGCAAACTTTTGCCACTCAAAGCAGCTGGGATTGCTTGCATCTGGACTGGTGTGGGCAGTTCAAAGCCTGCAGCCTCTATATTTTGGAGGAGCTTTTGAGGACAATTACACGAAGAGAATGACAAGATTGGTGTTGGAACTAAGTCTCCCTTCACATGAATTCCAAGTCTTGTTCTAAGCAAATCAGTGTGGTCGGCAGATAAGAATTGAGATCGGGATTGAGCACCAGAATCTCTAACATAAAAGCACTCATCAGTAGCGGGTAATGTTTTGGGAGGTGGGAGGTTGAGTGGCAAATGGGGGACGACCACTTTACATAAGAGAGTTTGTTTGCATTCCAAACTGCAAATGTCATCGTCTGTCTGATGGCATATGTACTCACCATAACGGTTACATATAACACATTTAGGCTCCCCTGGAAGAGCTTCTCTTTGGTCTCTGGACCTTTCTTTCACTTTATCATCTGCAAGCAAGCATCAGAGGGAGAATGGAAACCATGAATATGCATAAGTTGGGTTGGGAGAACGGATTATGATCTTGTATTACTTATTTTAATTTATCATTTGCGGGCAAGCACCAGAGAGACTGACTGGCTGACTTTCGAAATAAGTTAAAAAATCAAGTAATGATTGGAATGGGAACAAAAATAATTACGATTTCATTGCAATTTGAAATAGCAGTACCTTGAATGCCAACGACTGAAGTATTGCTGCATCGGTCATCATTCTTTCTGTGTTCCATTGTATTTGAACAATCACATCACATCACATGGGCACTGCAAACAAACAAACACCAACCAAATATTGCAATTGCAAAAGAATTCTAGAATAATATCAGACACAGTGATGCACAGCAGCCAAAAACTCTCCTCAACGACGACATTGAGAAGTGAAACCAAAAGATGAGGAGCATCGGAGCATCGGAGCATCAGACCATCCCCAATTTTAGTCGATTCCGACATAACCCAATCACAACAGATTACATACCTTGGAATTAGAATTGGTATTGGTATTCGAATAGCCACCAGCCACCAGCCACCAGCCACCAGCCGTCTCCGTCTTTTGTAAAACGGATTCTGAATTCGGAACAATTTTATCAACTACGGTCTCTCTGTTTGAGACTGCCAAGTCTTACTTATGAATATAGAGGCCCAACTGGTAGATATGTCTAAGCCCAGGCCTATTTCTGTGTAATTGTTTTCTTTTGGGCTTCGGCCCTCCTCAACAATTTAAATTACATTTTTCACTCAACGATTTAAATCACTTTTAAAAGGAAAAGTTGTGAAGTGCTTGTAGCATGAGTGGTTAAGAGTGTTTAATTCTCATTTTTCACTTTAAAGTATTACCATTATATCAATTTGTAACTTTGGTTTGATTGATTGTATGATAATTCATAAATTGATGAAGTGGTAAGCTCAAGACACTTAAATGGGCTAAGCCGCATTTGCACCACATTAACAAATTAGAAGCATAACCCATTTTGAAATTCACCACAAACGATGTTCAGGAAGGGAAACGACTAAATTAGCCAAAATCTCATCCTACATCATTTTTAGTGATTAAGGGCTTCCAAGGAAGAGAGTTCAGAAAGGAAACGATATGTTAGACTTTCATGTCATTAAATTAGTATTCTCATGCCAAAATTTGGATAAAATTATCATAAACTAGAATAGAAAATTAGAGCAATGATCTTTGAACTTTGATCAAATTAGAGCTTTGGTTTATGAACTTAAAATCCATAATTTATGATCCCTAAAATTGTCATAATATGGAGCAATAATCCTTTTATCTTGATAACTCTGTTAGAACTTATGTCTCTTATTTGCCATTTTAAACTTATTTTGCATTAAAGTTTAATGTTGTTACCCAAAAGAATTATTACTCAATATTGTAACAAGTTCAGAGACCCGTAATACTCAAGGAACAAAGTTTCATTAAGCCAAATCCAAAAACAAATGCCCCAAATTTCTTTAAACTAAAAAGGTGGGTTAAAATTCTATAGAGAGTAAGCCCTCTGTATTGACTATATTTGGGTTGAATCTCAGTTTTCCAATACCTTACACTACAAAAAAAAAATTAATTCTTTGGTAAAGTTTCCGCCGGGATAAAACTGAATTTTGCCGCAATAAATAACTTTTTCCGACAAATGTCATTTTGTCGGGAGAAGTTTTGTTGTGAAAACAAGTTGTTATTATTATTATTATTATTATTATTTTAATTAGGTTCACATCCCTTATTTTCATATTACATTTAAACCTTATTACCTTTTTATTTTAGATTAACGTCATTTGACTGATTCCATGTCATCATTTTAGCATTTAAAATATTACACATCATCATAAATGAAATCTCATCCCTTTATGCATTTAAGGCAAAATAAACTATATGAGTAAGTTTAAAACAAGGAAAATCCATTTGAACTCCTCCATTCTTCTTCTTCCCTTATGCACATCCGGAATCTACAACACCCCAAACCCAATTTTCTCCATTTTTTTCTCCATTTCTGAATTGATCCAATGCATATATGTTGAATTGTGATTAAAATACAAATTAGCATCAATAATTTTATCGGCTTTTGAGATTTGTGTGGCATAGGCAAGGCAACGCAAGCATCGCTTTCTCAAAGAATTTGGTTGATTCAAACATGCAGAGACTGTAGAGTGAGCGGGCTATGTGAAATTTGTACCATTCTGAAGTCATCTTCTTTTGTTCTTTATATTTTTTTCTTTTCCTTTTATTATTATATATTAGTCTTGATTATTCAATGTCTGGTTGGCTACACTTATATCCATGGGTACATTTTTAATCTACATGTTTCGTTCTAATATATCTATTGCTATAATATGTTTTGGTTTGTTCAAATTTGTTTTACATAAATATATGGATACTATTGTGGCCTATATTTAACTGACAGGGGAAGGGGGGCTAGCGGCATAGAGAGAGATGTGTTTGTAGGGTTGTGTAGAGGATGTGTTATCCCCCTACGCAATGCCTTTATTTATAGTGGGGTGTGATATCCACACACCCCATTTTACTTCTCACACACCTTTTTAATTTTTGGCCGTCGAATCGGATGAATTGAAGAAGATCAACTGACAAAAATTATCAAGGGGTGTGTGAGAAGTAAAATGGGGTATGTGGATAGCAAACCCCTTTATAGTAATAAGAGGAAGAAGAAATCACTCTCCTCCAAGGAATACAAGTTCTAACATGGAAGAATAACTAGAATCAAATCTAATTTAGGATTTACACAATCACACTTAAATAAGAAGTTTATAACAAGTAAAAAGTTTTTGGAGAATATTATGTAAAATGGTTTTTAAGGTTGCTGCATTTTATGTACCCACATAATCATGTCTATAAAACAATGGTAGGATGTACCTTCTTTTCCTTGAGTTTTTAAATGTACCCATGGGTGTTCTTGTAAATTCGGTATGTACCCATATACTATTTATGTTATGGGTACATATATTATTTTTGGTCTAAGTTCGTGGGTACATTGCTTTTGTATGTATGAATTCATGGGGTGTATTATTTTCCTTAATACTACTCAATGAAATTCACAAAAATATGTGCATTGTGCATGAATTTTTATTGTAGAAATTGTTTTTTTTTTTAATTTTTAAGTCTCATAATTCGTGAGATTTGTACATATATATCCTATAAATTTTTGAATTTTTAAAATTTAAAATTTCTTTTAGACTTGATTGATTGATTGAATCTCATAATACTAGGATTTTGAATTACATAAAATCTTGGATTTAAATCCCTTAAATGTTGGACTGCAATTAATATTTTAAATTACAGTTTTCTATTTAAGATATCAAAAAGATGACATGGAAATATAGTAATACTAATACGCTGAGGTGTACAAAGTCAAAGGATTTTGATAAAAAAATAAAAAAAACAATAAGATTTCAATCTAACAATGTTGACTAGGGACTGGAACCAAAATGACATTTTTTTTTGTCAAACAATAAATAATTGTTAGATTAGCCACTGACGAAATTTGAACTCATGCCGTCATGCAAACTTTCAAGGTTAATTTCACGAGTTTCTAACTTTCTTTCACATAACTAGCAAAGATTTTTACATCTAAACACTTATCTTTCCTCCCTAAAATAGCAAAATAATTTACTCTCCGTCCATAGTTTTTGCACCTAGCTATCTAAAACGAAGCAATAGCTATAAGCCTATATAAGCCAGGTAAGCGCGCGCGTAGTAGGTAGGTCGATCAGGCAACAGTGTGGATGAGCTCCTACTGCTGCTGCTGGTGCCTCTTGAAGGAGTGCTGCCTCTGAATTCTGATTTGGCGGTGGAACCTTCTTATGAACAAGTCTGCCACGTGGTCTATTTCTTCTTCGAGACTGAATTCCTGGCCGGCCTCTTGCTTTGAGTTCTTGACAATATCTATCACAGATCCAAACTGATCATCGTCCGAGTCGAACAGCGAGTGGGTCAGATCTGGGTACTTTTCTGCATCATTGACAACGACGTGGTCCTCCGACGTAGTAATGTAATCGTGATCATGATGATCAGTTGGAGTACTAATAATAGTATTATCATGAACCGGCCGCGGCTGCTGCAGGTGGGACTGGGATTCATGGAACGACATTAATATTATACTATGATCATTATTAATAATACTGTTGCTGTTCTGGTACTGATGATCTTGATTAATACCATCATCGTCATCATCTTCTTCTTCTTCCAGCTGCTGATGATCATCATGATGATCAGAGTCGTCAGAGTGGCCAAACAGAGCGTGGAGCTTGTGAGAGATGGAGGTGATCATCACCAACTTGTTGTTGCTCAGCAACGAGAATATGATGATTCGAGCCTTTATGGCCCTGGTTTTTCTCTTGAGAGCCTCTAGGGTTCTACCCTTGCCCATTGAGCTTACCGCACCTATTATCTGCTTCACTAATGCTGCACATACTTTCTTCTTCATCATCTTTCTTAATCTCAGCTAGCGCAGCAACTATTGCTCGATCGATCTGCACTTAATTTCTCAAAGCACACGTACGCCACAAGCCTGCAGCTGCTGGGAAGGATCGCAGCGCTGTTGAGAGAGAGAGAGAGAGAGAGAGAGAGAGATACACACTATTGATTTGTACGCAGGCGCATTGCAATTATCTAGCTACGGGGTGCGCGCGTATGGGTTTTTATATAGTTTGTCTATATAGATATATAATGACACATGGTCATGCTATAGAGTTATGTTTACATGCAATTGGCTAGCTGTATATCATTTTTATGGGACAGAGAGAAAGAGTGGGAGTTAAGAAAAGCAAAAGTAAAAAAAGTGAAAGTGATGGTTAAAGTGATTGATTGTGCTAGCTAAATATTCTTATTTCTTACTTTGTAAGGAAATTAATATTGGAGGATTTTTGTTTTAATTTAGCAAGTGGTGTATTATTTTAGTAGTCAATAAATTTTGTTTTAATTTATTGTGTTTTGGATTTAAAATTTTCTTTTTTTTAATGTAAGGTTAGCTTAAAATTACACATAATAAAAATCATTTGATAATTCAAACTTCAAACAAATTATGTCACTGTATAGTCGGGCAGAAATCGTAATCAACTAAAAAAAAGCACATACACCACCACCAAAGGAAAAAAGCACCAACGATTATATTTCAACTTTGGCTTTATCAAGAATAATGACAAAAATATATAATAAAATGATTAGATGCCTCTCGGTTCTAGGCAGCTCTAGCTTTAGTATCTAGTGGGTGCAACTTTAGGAAATCAGGTGCCTCAATTTAAATTTTGTCCATGTTTGACTAGTGGTCATACGTTGCTTAGCCGGGGTATTTATTATTATTTTTCTTTAAAATTCAAAAGAAAAGTACTATGAAGATTAAATTGTATTTGTTGTAGGTTTATTTGACTGAAGTGTATTTAGCAATAGAGAAGGAGATAGGTTGGCGGCAAGAGAGAGAAGAGAGAGATTTAATTGTGAGGTGTGTGTTGTATCACCCAATTGTGCATTTATTTATAGTATTAGGATAGGTTAAATCCTTACCTAATAAGATTACAACTCTAATAAGATATTAACTACTAAGGGGAATATTCAAAGATATCCTAGATATACTAGGATTTACACAATCACATTCTTATTCTAAAAATGACTGCAACGCTCCCCTTGAGTGTGTAAATACTCAAACAAAACATCACATCAGATCTTCAGCAGTTGAGGTAGAACAGTTTATGAAATCGGCGGCACAACGAGCGAATGCGAATCTCAAATATAAAGAAAGTATGCATTGGTAGTAAAACTCACAAAATATCGCTATAGTAAAACCTAAGGCAGGTGAAAACCCATAGACTAAGGAGAAAAATGAGAAGTATGCATAATATCTAAAACAAACGTCAAATAGGATGAAAGTAGTGAACTCAACAGAGTATGATCATCCCATGATGGGTGCCTCATCAAAACCTCGTTAGATAGCAAAAACCCAGTGAGAAAAATGCTCATAATTGTAGGAAAAAGAGTACATAAAGATCAAGTGAGTATGTTAAGGATATTCCCCCTGAGTTAGACATAACTTCCAAATAAGAGAACTACAAGCAATTCAACTTAAATAATTTACGCATATTGATTCCTTGGACGAGCTTTTGAAAAGTATACTCAGCCAATGACTTGGTAAAAAGATCGGCCAGGTTATCCTAAGTTTGGATTTGCTTAACTTCAATGTTATGATGTTGTTGTTGCTAGTGAGAATAAAAGAACTTCGATGCTATGTGCTTGGTGTTGTCTCTCTTGATGTATCCCTTCTTTAACTGCTCGATACATGTTGCATTGTCTTCAAAGATCATCGTAGGAAGATCAACGATTGTAGTAAGACCACTAGTGCTTCGAATATGTTCCATGACTGCTCTCAACCAAAAGCACTCAAGATATATGGTTCGAAGAAGTCGTAACTAGCGTTTGCTTGTTAGATCTCCAAGATATAGCGATGTCTCCAACAGTAAAGGCATAACCCGTTTGAGAACGTGCCCTATATTGGTCAAATAGATAACTAGCATCTACATAACCAACAAGGCGAGAATCAACCCAAGGACCGAGGGGGGCGGCGACTTCTCTCGAGGATTTGTGACAAACCCAAATCCGTTGTGCCCTTGAAGTAGCGAAAAATGTCTTTAACATCATTCCAGTGTCTGCGTGTAGGCACATTGCTGTATCTAGCCAAAAGATTCACAGCGAAGGAGATGTCAGGTCTAGTACATTGAGCCAAGTACAATAAAGCACCAATTGCACTTAATTATGGAACTTCAGGCTCCAAAATCTCTTGCTCATCCTTTTTAGGACGGAAGGGATCTCGTTTAGCATTTAGAATCCGAACGCCATATGAGTACTCAAAAGCTTCACTTTATTCTCATTAAAATGTCGCAACATTCTTTAAGTGTAGTTCGATTGATGTTCTAGGATTCCATCCAAACAATGCTTGATCTCTAGGCCGAGACAATATCGAGTTTTCCCAAGATTTTTCATCTCAAATTTCGATTTCAAGTGAACGACAATTTCCTCAAGTTCTGCGGGAGTTCCGATGAGATTCATGTGGTCGACATAAACTGCAGTGATCGCAAATCCAGAATGTGACTTCTTTATGAACATGCATGAGCATAGTTTGTTGTTCACATAACCCTGACTTGTCAAATATTCACTCAGATAGTTATACCACATCCGCCCAAATTGTTTCAATCCGTAGAGTGATCTCCTCAATCTAATAGAGATAATGTTATATGGTCTAGAACTATTTGAACCAGTCAATGGAAGTCCTTTTGGAACTTTCATGTAGATTTCCGTATCTGGATCCCCATAGAGATACGCGGTTACCACGTCTATAAGCTACATATTCAGTTTTTCAGAAATCGCCAAATTGATAAGGTAGCGGAACGTTATGACATTCATTACGGGGGAATACGTCTCATCGTAATCAATCCCAAGGTGTTGAGAAAAGTCTTGCGCTACGAGGCGTGCTTTGTATCGCACTATTTCATTATTCTAATTACACTTCTTCACGAAAACCCATTTGTAGCCCACGGGCTTCATATGCAGTGGAGTATGAGCTATAGGTCCAAACACCTTATGTTTTGCAAGTGAATCGAGTTTGACTTGGATTGCTTGTTTCCAGTTTGACCAATCCGTTCTACATTGGCATTCATCGACGGAATGTGCTTCAATGTCATCGCTAAGCATGATGTCAGTAGCTACTATGTACGCAAATGCGTCGTCAATGATCATCTTATTCCGATTCCAAACCTCATCCAATATTATGTAATGGATCGAAATCTCACGATTCTCGAGAGGTCGGGTTGTCTCATATAAGACATCACTGTAATCTAGAATAACCACATGCGTTGGAACAAATGAGTGAGCAATGGTCAGATTCATACTAGGGTCACTAGTTTGTGCCGTTTTCCTCTTCCAGCGTTGTGAATCCTTTGAACTAGGGGGTCTGCCATGCTTCAGGGTAGGAGCAGATGATTGGTTAACCGCCAATGTACTGGGCTACGATGAAAGTGCGGCCGCCCCACCCTCGGGGATGGTTTGGCCTTCCCAGGCGGTACTATGGCGTACTTGAGGTACGTCTATCCTTGCATGTACGTTTGTAGCGAGTATATGTGATCTCGTCACCTTTGCTAGATCAGTAAAAGCATCCAGCATACTTTTAGCAATGCGGGGATCTAAATGAGTCATAGTGGGAGCATACCACGATAATTCGCGGTGTTCACAGGAACATTAGCATGCTTATCTCCCCTTAATGACAAGAAGAATGCCTCATCAAAGAAACAATCCGAAAAATGTGCGGTAAAGATATCTCATGTCAAAGGTTCTAAATAGCAAATAATTGATGGTGAATCATAACCGACATAGATTCCCATTTTTCTCTGAGGACCCATTTTGGTACCTAGTGGTGGCGTTATTGGCACATAGACTGCGCACCCAAACACACGTAAATGCGAGACGTCAAGCTCGTATTCAGTAACCAACTGTAATGGTGAATGAGGTTGGGTAGCGGTGGGCCTCAGGCAGACCAACATAGTTGCTTGCAATCTTGCATAGCCCTAGGCAGACACCGACAATTTGGTTCACATCATCAAAGTCCAAGCTATCAATTGAAGGCGCTTTTTGAAAGCTTCTGCTAGGCCATTTTGGGTGTGAACATGTGGTACATGATGTTTAACTTTAATCTCAACTAACATGTAATAGTCGTCAAAATTCTGTGACGTAAACTCTCCAGCATTATTTAGTCGAATCGACTTGATTGAATAATCAGGGTGGTGAGCCATAAGCTTAATAATTTGTGCTAGGAGTTTCGTAAATGTAGCGTTACGTGTGGAAAATAAGAAGACATATGACCAACATGTTGATGCATCAACCAACACCATAAAATACCTAAATGGTCTAAACGTTGGTTGGATAAGTCCACAAATATTCCCTTGAATCCTCTGAAGAAACTTAAGAGTGTTGTGAATACTCTTTGTAATTGAGGGTTGAGTATTTAAGTATTGAACTTCCCCAGAGAACAAGCTTTGCATGGCGAGAATCCAATGTATGGAGGTAAATGATACCCATGTGATGATTTAAGGATACGGCGCATCATGTCACGTATGGGATGTCCATGCATAAATATAATTCCATTCATTCAATTAATCAATTCGAAAATTAATATCCATAATTCAAAACAAACCAAAACCAAACAAATTATTCCAAAAATTTAGAAAATTGTCCAAAAATTAAACCATAAACCTAAAAAATAAGGGGGAGGGGTTCGGCCACTAAGGGTAAAGACACCCTAAAAACATGTTTAGAAGAATAAAACTTATTCGTATATAGGAGCTGATGCCTCCTAAAAATTCGATATCGCCATAGATGTAGTAGCATCTTCAGGATGTTCCACATAGGTAAAGTTAGACTCACGACGGGAATAATACTTGGCAATGGCATCGGGGGTAACTTTGCATACGCATGACCAATGATCCTTTGATCCACAGCGGTAGCACATGTGCATTTCAGTGGAAGCCGATTGAACGGTAGTTTTTCCCTTGTTCTTGAAATTTAGGGCTTTAGAGGCAAGGGGTTGGCACTTCTGGGTCAAATTCCCTCCCTTGGGGGCCTTGGCTCTGTTAACCTTGGGCCCATGGTTGGGCTTGCTACCCATTACCATGGCCATGACTATGCTTTCGTCGTTTATAGTTGCTAGAATTGGTCGCATATGCTTTAGGTGCGACGTTTGAGCCAGTTGGTCGAGCTTGATGATTTTTCATCAAAAGCTGGTTCTGCTTTTCAGCGAGAAGTAAAACAGAGATCAAATCCAAAAATTTGGTGAACTTATGTGCCCTATATTGTTATTGCATGATAGTATTGGTTGCATGGAAGGTCGAATAGGTCTTCTCCAGGAGATCTGCATCTATTAAGTCCACTTTATAGAACTTAAGCAGTGATCAAATTCTACAAACTTCATAGTTGTATTCATTCACAAACTTAAAGTCTTAGAAGCGTAGATGTTACCAGTCGTGTCTTGTTTCAGGCAAGTAAATGTCTTTCTAGTGATCGAAATGGTCGACCAGAGCAAGTCAGATGGTGCGTGGGTCCTCCTCAGCGAGGTACTCGGTCTGCCGTGCATCATGGATGTGTCTTCAAATGAAGATCATTGCAGTAGCTTTATGGGCTTCATCGCCGGGGTTGGCATCGGTAGGTGCCTCAATGGTGGCTTTAATACCCTTTGCGGTAAGATGGAGCTTCACATCTTGAACCCATTTTAGGTAGTTTCTTCTAAAGACTTCTAGGGCGATAAAATCAAGCTTGTTCAAGTGGTAAGTTTTATGGAAATCCATAGACATACATCATAGAATATTCAAGGTCTATAGACATGTATTGGTTTAATTTAAACATGAAAGCTACAGGTTTCATGTGGTAAGTTTTGAATGAAAACTTCAGGTTTCAAAGGCACTAAATATGAAACTACAGGTTCAATTTAGTTTTATGAACGATTAGTTAATGAATGAGATGTCCTGCGAGAACATATAATGCAATATGCTGATTTAAAATGGATTTGAGTTGCTGCGGGAACTCAAGTGTGAAAGTTTCAGGACTACGAAAGGATGTCAACGGTTCAAAGTAGAAAAATAAATTATTGAATCGTTAATATCCAAAAGTGATCTTCAGGTCAATAATTTTGGATTAATTATCATATTAATGGACTGCAAGTCACTTTTAATTAATTCAATAGATCGGGACCAAACGGGGTCAACGTGGAAGTAAAATAATGATAGACGGGTCATATTAGCTTCGGTTGGTGATAAACCAAGTGATAATTAAATTAGAATTAATTAGCTTAAACCAAAGTACCCGAAGAAAAAAATACTTGGGGCATGATTTATAATGTGGGGATGACAAAAATTGGCTGGTAATGACGCGGGGACAGGCCATGCAGCTCAGCTGCAGGCTATTAGGTCTTGGGAAGGGCAGCAGGCTTATGGGTTGTGTGGTATGGGTGACGACTCGAGGACAGGCCCTTCAGCTCAATTGCAGGTTATTGGGCCTCGGGGAGGGCAGCAGGCTTCTGGGTTGTGTGGTCTGGGTGAGCCCATCAGCAAAAGCTATTGGTTTGGGCCAAAACGAGGCCTGGGAGTAGGCCCAGCCCAAGGCTGGCTTGCAGGTTGGCACTAACGAAACCCAGCCAAAAATGGGGTCGGGTTTTGGGCATGGGCATTACAAGACCAGCAGCATAAGCTGCTGGCGAATAGGCCGATGCCCAGCAAGCAACAGGCTACTGGGGGCAAGCCTGGGCATGGGTTAAGAAAGGCCCAACAACTCTTAGCTACTGGAGTTGGGCCAGGGACGCGCGGGACAAGGCCAAGAAAGCTTTAGGCCTTCTTGGTTTGGGTTAGGGGCATCAGTCCCGTGATTACCCATCAGGCCTAGGGCTTGGGTTGTCTAGCATGAGCAACAAAGCCCAAATTGCGTTAAACGATGCCGTTCCCATGTTTGCTCCACGCGGTTGGGCTGTAGGCTAACTGCAATGGTCGGCGATGGTGCTTACGGCAGTGCGGCGACGAGCCGCATTAAATTCCCATAAATATTTTTTTTTTTGACATCTCTAGGGTTTGGAACGTAGCATGGATTAAGCAATTATTATTTTTTTTGACTCACAAATTCCACATAGCAAAATAATTGCTTAATCCATGAAACGTATATATATATTGACAAATATATGAATCATATACAATATATATATCAGAAGGAAAATATAAGTACGAGGGGTTCATGCATTATGAGGAATGTTTTCATGCTTCGTGGACGTTTCAAATATCTTACTTTATTTTAAGCATACCTGATTGGTAGAAAACAAATAAAATCCTTTGAATTTTGTAGAAGAAAACCTCTTCCTACGATCCTTTCAGTTCCTTAGCTTCTAGCAAGAGCGTGCTGATAACGTGTTGTAGGCCTATTTAATTAAATTGTATTTAGGACTAGAGAGGGAGAGAGGCCCATGGCAAGAGAGAAAAGAAAGAGATTTAATTGTGAGGTATGTGTTATATCACCACATTATGTCTTTATTTATAGTAGTAAGATAGGTTAAATCATTACCCTAATAATATTACAACTCTAATAGGATACTAACTACTAAAGAGAATATTCAAAGATATCCCTAGATACACTAGGATTTACACAATCACATTCCTATTCTAAATATGACTGCAACAGTATTACCTTTTTAATGAAGGTAAAACTTAATTATTTATGAACTCTATGAAGAAAATTTTCAGAGTTTTCAGAACCCAAACATCAGTTTTGACACATGGAGTACCCCTTTAATTAGTTGATATCAAATGCCCCACTAAAAAGGTTATTTTTTATGAGTAAATTATATGTTACCATCTCAACTTTGGGTCACATAACAAACTCATACCTTATCTTTTGAACATTGCAATGTTATACATCAAATTATGAATTTGTTGTAATGTCATATCTTGTTTCTTTGTCCGTCAATTTGTTTGTTAACGGTTGACGTGGTAGAAGTGGGGCGCATTCCCTCGCCCACTAGAACTCCACGGTGGAGTGTAGCTAATCCCACGGAGAAGAAGAATCTTTGGCTTACAGAGTAATTGATGTTTGGCTTAGGGTTTAGAGACCAAAAAAAGTTGACAGGCTGGGCTATTAGGAGGTCAGTAAATTTTGGATTACTGAGCACTCAGTACTCAGTACCCAAGTGTTACAAAAAAAAAATAAATAAATAAAAATAAAAATTCTAGCTGATCATCTAAGAATTAAATCAACAGAACCCCAATCCCGCTAGCAGACACTTTTCAGTGGTCTAGCTAATTAAGAAACTAGATGAAATATATAGAAATCCTGAAGAAAAAAAATGATAACAAATCATAAAAAGAGACAAAGAAATGACCCAGCAAGCTAAACAACATCATTTCAAAGATAAAGATAAGAGTCAAGACCAAGGTCTAAAATATCGATATTATCCCGATATTTTCATCGAAATTTCCGTGTTTTTGGACTACCGATATTTCCGATATCGTCGATATTTTAGACCTTGATCAAGATAGGAACTCTATGTGGTACTAAGTCACTCATGTATCTTACCACGCAATGTATAAAGTGTAAAATATTGTACTAATTCATTATATATAAATGATTATGATGTGTTTAAACTTCTTTCATTAATTACTACATATTTTCTACACTCACAATGTTTGCCATCTCGCTATATCATCAACTTAAATCAGTTAAATCCAATCATGTAATGCATTTCCTTCCAATTTTTTGTGATAAACTAATAGATAATTGACTAAATAAACATCCTGCAAAGTTTCAATAAAAATTTCCAAGTTTTTCTTACAATTTCCGTGGTTTTTATTCAATTTTTATCGCTATCGATAATATCCCGATATTTCTATCAAAATTTCTATGTTTTTGGACTACCGATATTTCTGATATCATAGATATTTTAGACATTGGTCAAGACTAATCAAGAGATAGGAGGAGAAGGAGACCATTAGTTAAGAAATTTCTCCACGAAGAAGAGTAGGTTAAGATTACGACCATTAGTTGTTAAGAATAGAGACAAAGAAATGACCCAGCAAGCTAAACAACATCATTTCAAAGATAAAGGTAAGAGTCAAGACTAATAGAGAGATAGGAGGAGAAGGAGACCATTAGTTAAGAAATTTCTCCACGAAGAAGAGTAGGTTAAAATTACGACCATTAGTTGTTAAGAATTTAGAAATATCTCCATAAATGGCTTGTTTGGTACATATATATTATTGGATTGAAATGAATTTAGAATTAATGTATGTTGAAGGGTGAAATTATAGAAATATTTGTGAAGAAAACTTAACAACTCCAATTCTTCTCCAATTCTTTTTAAAATGGTAGGATTAGGAGGGAATTTCCTTCATAGCTAATCCTCTATCTTTTAATTCCCACCAACTGAAAACCATCCATTTTCACCTTCACTATATCTTGAAATTCGAGAGCTTCCTATTCAAATCGAATCATGCATACCAAAAAAGCTCAAAGAGTAAGTAATAAAGTAGCGTGTATTTCCTTTCACTTGTAAATGAAAGATATTATAAATTTAAATATGGTAAATTGCGAGTATGATATTATTTTATTCCGCACTTCTTACAAATATATCATTATATTAAAAAATAAAAATAGAAAAAAAAAACACAGTAATTTAGTAGAAAAGAAAAGGAACGTCAAATTGGAAAAATCCCTATTTCCCAACCGGCAGTCAGTCAAAGTCAGACCGGTTGGCCAGGGTTACAATGAAATAGCTACCAGTACCAGTACCAACCACGTCGACGATCTCTCCCGTTATTATTAATATATCAAACTAATTGATTAAAAAAACCCAATTATGACCTCCAGCTGATGTCAATGTCCATGTGGCCGCGGTGGTCTAAATTCTGGTCTCCAAGGACCGTAATCATGGTAAGGATGATGGAACGGGCGAGTTGGATGAGAAGGTAGAAGATAATTATATTCTGCCATGGGCGGTGGCGGAGGAGGAGGATGAGGAGGTGGCGGTGGCGGTGGCGGAGGTAGATAATAGGCATGAACATGATCATCTGCTGGGGGTAGCACCGGTGGTGGCGGAGGAGGATTATAATTGTAATGCGCATTACTAGTATGAGTTTGATGTAATTCCATTAGCGAGCTGGCCGGATTGCAGACTTGGGTACTGCTGTTGAACTTGTTGTGGTAGCCGGCGCTGCTAATATTGCTATTGCTAATACATATATCATCGTCATCGTCTTCAAATGTAATTGTGGGATATTGGATACGCAGCGGCTGATGATCATGAACATCATGACTTCCAGTACTACCCTTTTCAAATGGACGACCAAAACCAAATCAAATATTAGTATATGTATATAATGATCACTATAACTATTATTATTTTCACAATTTTACTATATATACATATGTATGTATACATAATTAAGAGGGATGCATGGTTCATATGGGTGTATTGTATATGTACCTCAAATTTGTAAGGTAGCTTGGAATTCAGTAGTTTGTAGGAGAAGTTCAGTATCCCATTGGGCTTTTTATCGCTAGTCGTCACCTGATAATTTACGTACGTTGCCAATGCATCCTGCTGCTGTTGTAGGCGTATGAGATCCTTCAAGGGCACACGAACCTCTCCTATACTCCTGTCTCCGATTCCCAACAGGCCCACACCCTCGTGTCGTAGATCGAAGTGAATGAAGAGATCATCATCGTCATCAAACTGATCAAACTCAAAGCGCATCTCGTGATTCCATTCTGGATTCCCATTTCCTTCCTTATCTGTTGGTGTTCTATTCATCATTTGTTTTTGTTGATCCACCACCACCTGCTGCTTATTGTCATCCTTTTGCACCGACACAAGCGCGTAAACTGACAGCTTCTGGAAGAAATTGAAGGCTTTCAGATCTTTGCACGACACCACTTTGATTTCTACGATCGCACCTCCTCTGCTGGATTCCATCTGTAGATATATCGATATATATTCCTGCAGGCTAAGGCTGCAGGCGTACCAAGTATCTCTCCTCTCTCTTGAGTCGAGGAGTAGATCTACAAATCTCAAACTTCAAATAATTATAGGATCCTAGGATCTTCATATCTTAATCATTCATCGTGTATCGTATGGTTAGTAATTATTTGACTGTTTTTTTAATTAAAATTAAACACAAATAATATATGACAAAAACTGACCGTATGATGTACAATAAACGGTTAGAATATAGAAATTCTTAAGATCACCACAAAGTGAATCGGGAGAGGATCCTCTTCCAACTCAAACTACAAGATACCGCTCAACTATATTTCTTTTTCGGGCAACTACAATTCATTACACGTCTCCTGGGTTTACATTTCAATTTTCAACACTTAATTTTTTTTCGTAGATCAAATTTTGGTTAAAAACAAATAACACAACTACAAAAATTCTATCATGCTCTGATGTATAATTTATAGGTTTTTTTTTATCAAAATGGTCTATGAGATTTGCTTAACTATTTACTTTGGTTCTTGATATTTGAAATCAATAAAAGCAGTTCCTGAAATTGTCAACCATCAATCATTTTGGTCATTCGTTAAAAAATTATGTTAAATAAGGATTAAAATAACAAAATTACCCTCAATCTAATAAACAATATGTCAAAATAATTTGACAAAAATTGAGGGTATTTTTATCATTTTATCCTTATTTTATAGAGGATTTTTCACAGAATGACCAAAATGATTGATTGTGGACAAACTCAATAACCAATTCTATCGATTTCAAATCAGAGTGAGGATTTATGCAAATCTCAAATACCATTTTGGATATAAAAAAAACCTAATTTATATCTATTTAAACATGTTCCTTAATTTTTATTTATTTTATTTATGATTATTTTTATTTATTTTATTTATTTCAATCTGATAATCATAAATAAATAAAGATAAACAGTCATTTCCCGTATAAATATATAACAATGCTGTTTTTCTTATCATGTATGAAGAATGAAATACTATTGTTTAATTTTTCAGTGTTAGCCTAGTTATTTTTTAAGAACTTTTACACCATGAGTCCTCAGGTTAAACCAATTGTGTGGGGGCGTCGGTGCATAAAGGTGATGCAAATGCATATCGATCGATATAGAGCTCATGGACGATTACTAAAGCTTTCTTCCAAATATATTAGCAAAGAATATACAATAACGTGACGAATTACACCTCGTTAAAAAAACATCAAAGCACAATACAACGAATCCTAAACATTTGTATTTCTACAAAACACAACAAAGTGAATATAATTCCCTCCTAAGAAGCAATTTAATGCAATTTACTACTCCTATCACGGGCTCTCAGAGAGCACGGGGTTTGTCTCCAGCATTTTTGTAGCATCTTCATCCATGGACATCTTGGTCCAACCAGAGTTTCTCATGGAGAAAATCTTGGCGCGGTCAAACCCATTTCCTCTAAAGCCCGTTATCTTTGATGACACCATAGGCATCACGAGGACAGCAGATGCATTGATTGAATCATCTCCAAATCCCAGTGACAATGCACAAGCAGTCTGTAAAAGGATCCAAGTTCAGAGCATTAATAGTCAGTCATGCGATATTTACCAGGATTCTATCTCAGTAAGTTCAACAAGCCAGTTTAGATCACCTTTGCCTTCACTATCGCATCTGAAATCTTCACCAGGATTCCTTGCAGAAATGATCGTGTGTCTCTAATTTGTACATCTTCAGATGAAACAGCAAACCTGTAACACCCACGCAGGTGTCAAACAGTGGTGAAATTGACAAAAAGAATACTCATCCAGCTCAAATTTGAAAGCATATGCTACAACATATGTTTTTAAACTAAAACAACAGTGTAATATCCACTTTTGCACTGCTATCAATATGCTACAATATTGAAATCATATAATAAAAGTTGCATAAAAGAATGTATTGTACCTGCCCATGTCTTTTGGAATGCTTGAAGACACCACAGAAACTAAAGATGGATTTTCTTTGACTTCAGCACCTGAAATTTAAAGAGTTAGTTCACGTCTTGATATTCTGCCAGCTTAAAATTTTTAAAATATGAATTAAATACCTCTGGAATCATCAGGTGCCAGCAAAGTAATGCCTACGAACACAGACATCATTCCCAGTATGAACATTGTTGTCCTTAGTGCATCTAATACCTGTTTTGAGAACAAAAATATGCTTTTCACACAACCTCAAAAACATATTCCAAGCAAAAAAATGTTTTGGGGTGGGTTGGGGGGGGGGGGGGCTGCGGGTGGTGTGGTGTGTGTGTGGGGGGGGGGGGGTGGGGTGGGGAGAGAGAGAGAGAACCTGGTATTCTTGAAAATATACAAATCCTGTACAAATGGAAAAGAATGTCCAAGCAATCTGAAACATAGGAACAATAAGAATTGCATCGAAAAATGACAATCCTTCATTCAAACGAGCCATCTGCACAAGTGGAAGTGGAAGGTGTTAATATAAAAGCTAAATAAAGAACCATAGCAAGACAGCATGCCATTGCAGCAATTTGTGAGACAAGTAATCTAGAGTTAATCTGCAACAACTGATACCCAAAATCCAGCTGTACTTAGAAATAAAAGGAGCATGGAGTATGTGAACCAGCTATGTAACTGATAACTGCTAGACATGGCCAAACGTAGCAGGTTAGATCTGCCACGAAAACAAAGGAATTAGAAACAGAAGGGAATTGCATGATTGCACCACATGCGTTACACAAGGAGAACTATCATGGAAAGATAACTTACAGAGATTTTGCAAACAACACTGAGAATGATCCAACAGCACCTGAAACTATAGCATAGGAAAAAGGAAGCAGCATATGCCAATAGGGTCTCAGATCCTGGCCAGAAACAGCATGCAGAAGCTCTCCTCTCCTGTATATCCAGAAATTGATGTAAATGAATTTTGTTGGAGCCATACCAATAAGAAGGAAGAGTTCATCACTTAATTCCCACCTGTAAATGGAGTGATGCAAGGCAACAACTAAAACCAAGATCATACAGTAAAATAGGAATGCAATATTGCTGTATTTCTCGGCCAGCTGTTCAGGTGTGTATACTGTAACAAAAACAATTAAACTTCATTACATTTGAGTTTGTGGAGAAAGTCTTTTCTGCAACAGTTATATATTACGGCCCTCTCACAATAACCAGTCATGTGACCAGCACACATGGGGTTGGATGTGATAAGGCTGTTGTATGCAATGTTTGCAGGGACAATCGTTGTACTTGTGTGTGTGTGTGTGTGTGTGTGTTTACAACAGGGGGGAGTTTGGGATGGTACTTGAAAATGAATCATGTACCAGGTGACTGGTGGTTGCCAAAAGCAACAAGAAAAATATTCCCAATAACGATAAAGGCTGTGGCAACCATTACCCTGTAAAGAAAGCAGTCTTATTACATAGAGATGTACTCAGAAATATGTGTAAAATGGATGTATGGACAGCATTACAGTTATGAAAATTCAATCTCACTTCAGATTATAACGTACTTTACAGTCACCATTTTGTTTAACACAAAGTAAGCAAAGGCAATGTTGGATACAAACTGAACAGAACCCAGTGCCGCAAGAAGTGACTGCACAGAAGGATACAAGAAAACAAAACTAATTAGAAATAACAAACTCATCCAGATATTCTTGTCGCAGATGTTGACATCTGTGTATGTATAGTACTAATCCTACTTTGTGGATTCAAATAACAAGGCTAACAAAATAGAGTTTATACTGACCTGAGCAGCATATCCAAAGGATACAAAATTTAGGCAATTACCAAGAGCAAAAAATAAAAAGCCTGCATATGAAGAAAGCTAACTTATTTTAAGTCCTGTGTTCGTAATCCACCGTGCAAACTAGAATATCCAAAACAGTTAGAACAGATGAAGCACTGAGAGAGAAAACTGTACCAACTCTCCATGTCTGATAGTGTATAATAGGCTTCAAAGGAAGCTTTCCATTTCCTCCATCACTTTCTAGTATTGAATGTCTCTCTCTCTGCCAAAACAGAAAATAAACATTCTGACGCTTGCATCATGGTATAAATACAGTTACCAGTATTAAATTGCTACAGAAGGAACACAGGTGGCTCAAGTCTGCACTTTCAGATTAGCTACAAAGTGGTTGACAGCATACGAGAATTGAAAACACACGAAATGTAGATGTTCTCACATACATCAAATGAAAACTATGAAATCAATGGAAGTAAAAGTCTGACTAATGAAGATTTAGCATGCAATGAAAGGTGTGGTTTGTATTGTTGCTTTGCAAGCTGCATGTTGATTGTTCAAGCAACAATGTGCAGTAACAGTTAGAGTAGAAGTGCTAAAAAGAGGAAAAAGCATACACACCCTACTAGTGGGAAAGTCATCACAATAACATGTGGAAGGTTATCAATTTGCCTAAAGATTGTTAGACACGATCACAATGTATAATGGTTCAACGAGAAGAAGGGAATGGGCAAACATACACACAAGACAGCCACCCAAAGTAATAGAGTATGGAGAATAAACCTCGTTATGCCCCAATTTGAGAAGGTTAGTTCCAAAGTTGATGGCAATGCTGCCAAAAAGGTTAATGAAAGCTCCAACGACCCACTCCCCCATGGATTAGAGAGAGATGTGAAGCCGAGGCTGCATGCAGCTTAGGTGTCAAGTTGCCAACCAATATTACTTACTGAACCTGGCACAAGTAGAATACAATCACATATATAGCGGCGATTTGCAAGAGAAATGCTTGAGGAATTCCCAATGTCTCGCACATTAACAGACAATCTGACAGATGTAATTCTATGTGAAATTTGAATTTACAATCAATCAATCAATCGTATTGCACATTAACAGACAATCTGACAGATGTAACTCTATATGATATAATATGATATGATATGATACAAAAGAGCAAAAATAACATGTATGTATGATTGTAATTCTATATGATATGATTCACAATTCAGATGAAAAAATTAATATTTATTATCATTTCGTTTCGATTCGATAGATCAGGCATAAGAATAAGAAATCATAAATACATTTAACAAACAAATAAATTCATAAAGAAATAAGAAGAAAAATATAGAAAGAAACCACATTTGGAGCTATTAATTTACCCCTGTCTCTCAAGGACAAGTTGGAATTTCGATCGAGGCGGATCCAAATTGTGAAGGTATTTACTTTTCTTCCTTGTGTTTCTGTTTAATCTGTGTGTTATTTCCCGAAGAGAGAAGAAGAAGATAATTATCAAAGAGAACAGAATCCCAGATGCGAGATCGATGGATGGATGGATGGATGTGAAAGACTTGAGATTAAGGAGGAAAGGATTAGGGAAGAATGAATGCCAGAAATGCCAGAAACAAGAAAGAAGAGGAGAGACGACGAGGGAGAAGAAGACAGAAAAGAAAAGAGTTGTCCGGTCCATAGCCCAAGGCGTGATGCTTCAACGCACGCTATGACGGCCGTACTCTTGAACTTGTCGGCAAGACAATCACCTACGCTAACCCTCATGACAACAAAACTATAACTGCTATCATCTGTCCGTCCATCTTTGTTTTTTATTTTCGCTTGGGGAAGGAGTGGGCTCCACTAACTGTCATTGAAGTAGTCAATCTTCGCCTCTAAACTGCCAGCAACGTCTTTACAAGGAAACCGGATCCTCTTGGTGAGGATTCCGAGAATATGTGAATTGTGTTTGTTCATCGTATATCATGAGATCAAAAATTACTTTAAATATTTTTATTTAAAAATAAACATAAGCAATATTTAAAAATAAAAAAACTAACTGCAAAATGTACGATAAAATGACACGATTTACGAATTCTCAAGATCCTCACCAAATCCTCACCAAAAGGATCCGGAGAGGATCCTGTTGGCTTTACAAGGCGGGTTGTAGTTTGTTTGTTTGTTTGATATCATTTGGTTGGAGTTTTGAACTACCTATTAGGCTATTACTGGTAATTCCATTAAACCCTGAAAAACATTACCTCAGCTCTTCAAATTAATTCAACTAATTCTAACTAACTAACTGGAATCACCTCTCACGAGGTTGAAGCACGACGAGTATCTGCATACTCTCTGCCCATCGACTACATGTATCGGTGAACCAATTTGCAATTTTTGTAATTAGAACATGCAAATATATTTTGAAGAAAATTTAATATTATATTATTGAAAACTCGTGTCGATGCAGTATGTAAAGGATGAGAACACGCGAATATATCACTTATACGTTATTTACTTTTTGACACCAACTTTCAACTACGTATATATACTTTTACAAAACGCATTACCTCAAAAATAAAAAATTAAAATTAGTTCCCGTCTTCAATCAACATATTGATCAATTGTGCCGATAATTATAGAAATGTATTCTGTCTCACATGCATTTCCCTCTCTTGGAAATGTAAGCAGAGAAATCAGTTGAGGTGGCTAGGTAGCTAGCTAATTTCTCTCAACCTATTGTTTATTTGGGATCAGGATTCCGAGCATTCAGGAATATCATAAAATATAACACGGAGTCCCTTTCTTTTGGTGTGGCCAAAAAACTTTTCCAGATAATGCATAGGTTCTTACTGTAGTGTGTCGTGTGATTAACATCTTTGTATCTTCTTGTGGTGGATAACTGACATACGATGAAGTGTCCTAGCTAAGAGAGAGAATTAATCATGGCTGTTTGAATTCAATGTCCTAGCTAGCCAAAAGATGGAATTTTGTGCTCTTGTCCTTGTTGCATTATCCGTCAGAAAAACTTGAGCTAACAATCACATTTTTATCGGTTTTCGACCAAAACCATCGTATTTGATTAACTCTGTTCAATGCCATTTACGCCCTCCCAGACTCCCAGTAAGGGAAATGCTATTCGTAACAGCTTATACAAACACAAAAAAGAATGAAACGCACACGGTTCTTTAGAGGACACCATTAGTAGTACCACAACTTTCTCATACTAATCAATTATAATTGTTCTGTTTTTCAGCCTTCCATTTCATCAACTTCATACCTTCATATAACAAATTTATAAACAAACGGTAACTTAATCCAACACCCACTCTAATTATGCAAACAATATAACTACATAGTATAAGTTGGTATCAAACATAATCTTTAATCGTCATCTTATCATATATGCTATAGAATGACAATGATGGTAATGCTTTAGTTTTATCACGCAATACCAAGCACAACAAAGTCATTTGGTACCGTCGATCAAAATCCTGAGATAGCACATCCCCGGCTTAAATTAACACATATGAGCAGACACACAAAGCACTGCCAGAATAAATTTAGAAAGATGTACAAAAACATGAAACCAAATGGAACAACCACCTGAATCTATTTCCAAGATGAGAGTATCTAAAGTTTCAAACGCGCGTTGAAACTTGTTACGAAGCACCTGAAAGATTATACCATGCCATTTGAAAAAGAACCAAGATGAGAGTATCTAAAGTTTCAAACGCGCGTTGAAACTTGTTACGAAGCACCTGAAAGATTATACCATGCCATTTGAAAAAGAACCAAACAGTTTTCAATTCAAAATATCTACCAACCAAGGAGTGCTTTGCAGTGAAATGCAGGAGTTTGGGAACCTTCACTATCCGCAAAGCTACCCCATGTATGGTAACAGATCTTACTCGTCAGTTACTTCAGAAAGAAGGAGACTAATAAAATCATTGCATCTGGTTTTCTTTCTATAGTGAAGCTGTTAGTGAAGAGCTTTAGAATCTTTCATGGCCACATTGCCACCCCCACCCACACTCTGTGAGTCTATTTCCTTAAGCGCAGGTGTCTCTAACTCTAATCATGCAATCCTGGGAAGAAGTTGAAGATGTCTCAAACGAATGGTTAACCCGACATTGCCACCTAAATGGTATTTTCATTTTACAAGTTCATTACAACATGGTAGGCAGTAAAGGCCCTTCAAGCAGTACGCCAGCAAAACAAGTAATCTAATCTAATTGACAAGAACAAAGAAGAAACCACACAACAAACAGGCAGGAAATAAGAGAGGAGCCGGATTCACTAATGTAACAATGTAAGAGTAGGAGAGAGGGCAACATAGGGCAAGAAGTTAAAAAAAAAAGATACCAGAGCCAAAAGAATGAGCAGAGCAGTTTGCAGTTTGTACTTGTGATGGTAACATAATGCAACTAATGTTAATGGTATACACACAGAATCAAAAATCTGCCGGATGTCATCACAGTAGTACTACAGTGATTTAAAGAAAAAGAACAAAAAAAAAAAAAATCTAACAAAGGAAAAAAAAAAGTACCGGTGATTCTCCTGAACGAGGGTGAGGGTGTGGCTATGGATGCTAGCTAAGCCTGAGTGCCGCTCAAGGCTTTCATCTGAATGTGGTTGTGGTCGGAGGAGGGGGCAGCGTTGGGCAAGGCCTCATATGAACCCAATCTGCGGATTCCAACAGACTTGGCAACGACGGCGTAGGTGACCATGACAATGAGCAGGACGAACATGACGTGCACCAAGAACACCAGATCCAAAATGGCCACCGCCCTGAACCGGGACTCGTCCAGGTCGCACTTGGTGGAACCCTCCACCGCGTTTACCACGTCCAGCAGCCTGTGGCACCCCTCCGGGATGAACGCCTCCACGTACAGCGACAGCCCCGTCTGCAACACCCACAGCCCCTGCAAGCACATGGCCGCCCCTAACCCCACATCCGCCACGAACACCCTCGGCTGGCACGCCAGAACCGCGCATAGCCCCGACGCCACCGCCGTGATCCGACCGGAAACCGAGTCGCACTTGGCCTGCAGATCCGACGTCTGCACCGACGCCGCCCCCCACGACACCAGCGATTGCAGGTAGAAGAGGGCCGCGGCCAGCCCGAACACCAGATCCGAGGGCAGCGGAAGAACCGATGGGGCACACTCGGAAAGCAGCAGAGCCAGCGTGAGCACCAGAAAGAGGAAGAGGGAGGCCGCGGACTGCAGGGACGTGAATCGGTGGACGGGGGTGCTGCCCTTGAGGAGTGGGTCGGCGTCGAAGGAGGTGAGGGTCTGGTGGACGACGGCGACCAATAGGCAGGCGATTATGGCATAGAGCTGGAGATACCTGAGGCGATGATGAGGAGGAGGATTAAGGTTGGAAGAGGAAGAGGAGAGGGGGAAGGGGTGGTAGGGCTTGGCGGCATAAGACTGTGGAGATTTGAGGTGGTTGCGGGTGGTGGCCACCATGTGGTAGAGTCCCAGTGATACCAATGCGGAGGAAGACATAATCTGGTATACTAGGGCTGCCATTTCTCTCTCTTTCTCTCTCTCTCTCTTTCCCTGCTTATTCTGCTGCTGCTTCAATCCTTAACTCTCTTGAGTCTTGGAGTTTTGAGTCGCGAATCGACTACTTGTTTTCAAATAAATAAATACTCGCAATGAAATAAATAAATAAAAAACGAGGAGGAGGCAGGCCAAAAGCTAAACACAGGCAGTCATCGTTCGACCTCCGCTCCGATCCCAACCAGATCCTAATCAGATGATCCTCCTAATTACTTAGATCCTCAGATCCTGAGAAGCCTATGATATAGAAGCCGACGACCGCTGTAGATGATTCACATAACCTCTGCAAACTCTCCTTCCCAACTCACCCATCTCAATTCTCAAGACTCTTGCGCTGGAAAACGTATGGGGGCCGGGCCACTTTTCTTTATACATGAGCATTTTGGCGCATTGCCAATTGGTGAGGCAACAAGGCATATTTTGCATTTTCTTTAGGTAGATTGTAAAAAGAAAAGTAAAATTATGGCTGTTTTTTATGATTTTAAATATGACAGTGATCACACACTCATTTTTATTTTCACACAATTTTATTTTATTTTAGTTATTGATTTTTTTCAATTTATTCGATCCGACTATAAAAAATTAAGCTATGAAAGTTCAAGGTATTGATTATGGTTTTCGACAAAATTAAATGTCTATAAAATCCAAATATACTTTATAAACTGTTTATAAAAATTCTTTTGTATTCAATAACAATTTGGTTTCAATTCAGTTTGAAAAGTGAAGACTTTTTTATTTTGTGAATTTAGCGAGATTTTATTGTGCATTTTAGGTCATAATAAAGAAAACATTTTAAGGGGTATATTCAATTGAGTATTTTTTTTAACATATGATATTATCTAAACTAAAGGAATAGGGAGTGAGATAAGACTTGCACTGAGCTAGCCATAATAATGTGGTTCAAATTCTTCTTTAACGAGAATCAAACATAAAACATCTCACTTACTAGCTAAAGAAATACCATTAAGTGGCTTGTTCAATTGAGATTAGTCATTTTAAATTTTAATCATGGTATTCAATCAAGATTCTACTACAAATCTAGATTTATTCAATGAAGATTACTTTTAACAAGGCATGTATAGATCGGTGACTGTCATTCCAGCCATGTCAGAGTCGTTATTACGCATCTCTGGAGTTGTGGCCACATGTCTGGATCTTGGGTGGCAGAATCAGTATAATTGGTTACAATGACCTTAGCCATCAAGTCCTAGGTGCTTAGGCCATCTCCAACCGATGGCTGGCCAGAGGGCTCGTTTTAGCCCTCTGGCCCTCCAAGATTCTCCAAGATATTAATATTTTAATGAACAGTACATGGTCATATTTGCCTCCGTCTCCAACCGAGGGCCAGAGGGCCAGAGGGCTCGTTTTAGCCCTGTCACAAAAAACCGTCTCCAACCGAGGGCCAAAGGGCCATAGGGCCAAACATAATTTATTATTTAAAAACTACAACTTAATTTTATTTAAAAATCATGTTGGTTAGTGTTGTATAATTTTTATGTTGGTTAATGTTATTTAATGTTGTTTCATATTGTTTAATGTTGTTTCATGTTACTTAATTTAATTTAATGTTGTATAATGGTTTAGGAAGTTATAGGAAAAAAATAGAATTTAAAAAAAATATGAAACAAATTTTGTGAAATAGAAGTTATAGGAAAAAAATAGAATTTAAAAAAAATATGAAACAAATTTTGTGAAATAGAAGTTATAGGAAAAAAATGGAATTTAAAAAAAAATATGAAACAAATTTTGTAAAATAGAAGTTATATGAAAAAAATATGAACCAAATTTTGTAAAATATAAGTTATAGGAAAAAAATAACAAATTTTGTAAAATAGAAGTTATAGGAAGTTATAGAAAAAAAAAGGTTTAAATTCATAAAAAAAAAAAAAAAAAAAAGGTTTACAACGGCTAGTGGCGCTAGCCGTTGGAAGTTTAAATTCAAATTGTTATTTCTGTCGGTTATTATTTCTGTCGGTTATAACCGACAGAAATGAGAAACATTAAAAAAAAATAGCCAACCCGGGGCTGGCTGGCTGGCCGAAAGCAGCCAGCCCTCCAGCCCTCCAGCCCTCTCCGATCCCGTGGGGCCCTCCCAGATTCCCGAGCCCTCTGGCCTAGCCTTCGGTTGGAGACGGTTTTAGGGCTATTTTCGGCCATCTGGCCCTCTGGACCCTTCGGTTGGAGATGGCCTTATGTTCCACTGACACGCGAACAATGAGATCTCAGGGTCGAGTTTACGGTATCAGGGTGTTAACGCAGGACTTGGATTGTCTGCCCTCTAATTGTGGTGCCCTCCCCGTGCCCTCCTATTTTTGTGGTCACGGTTAAGCCACGTTAACATTTTATATTACTATTTCTTTTTGTTTTATTATTTTTATAAAAAAATAATATAAAATATTGACGTGGCTTAACCGTGACCACACAAAACAGGAGGGCACGGGAAGGGCACCGAAATAGGAGGGCAGACAATCCAAGTCCGTTAACGCAGGGTCCTTTCTGGCCTCTAGAAACGAGAAGTCCAAGGCACATGGAAAGAAGAGAAAACCAATACCCAAAGGAAGAAATGAGGACTAAGACCTCATGAGGTAAGAGGAGATAACTTTTTGGCACATGCTAGGCAATCTTTGAAGTGCTAGGCAGAGTGCTAGGGTGTTCTAATTAGACCGGACCAAGAGTATCTCCCATCCCACTTTCCATCCCCTCCTACTTTTCTAGCCATTGATTTAATGTTTAGCTATTTTAATGCTTCAGATTTTGTCACTTCACCAACAACTCCAAAGAATCTAAAGCCCAATTTTGCATACTTTTTCTATTGCATTTCCCGCCCCTTCCTATCCATTTCCTGACTTCTTTTTGCTGCCATTCCAGCCCCTAAAGTCATTTTCTCCCGCCTCTTCCACTTAAGATGACTTCACCTTCCGCCGATTCGATATAAGTTTGATCTTCTTACCTTTTGCAACTCTATCCTTATGCCATTTCACACTGCTGCATCTTCATTGGGTCTTCCAAGGTCTGTTTATGTAATTTTCTTTGCTTCTTTTTGCTCTTTTTTGCTATTGGATTTGTATTTTCTTTTTGATAACATGTTGGGGTCCTCATTTTTTTTCTTGGCCGTACAATTGGATAATGAAGAGCAAATAACCAATATTTTTGGCGGATGCTAAAATGATAAGTGACTATGGTCATTTTGGAGGCGGCAAAAAGAAGTCAGGAAATGGATAGGAGGAGGTGGGAAAGGCAGCATAAAAAGTATGCAAAATCGGGCTTTAAAGATGCTTTGGAGTTGTTGGTGAGGTGGTAAAATCTAGAGCATTAAAATAACTAAACATTAAATCAATGGCTAGAAAAGTAGGAGGGGATGGAAGGGGATGGAAGGTGGGAGGGGAGACAATCTTGGTCCAATCAAACCACCAGGCCATCAAAGGGGTGCTCTAATTAGACCACCAAACCATGGTGCTCTAATTAGATCGCCGAATCAGGATTCTCTATCAGGACCACCATTGCAGTGCAAGGCTTAGCGGCAAGCATGCAGTGCTAAGGAAGAGTGCTAGACATACAATGCTATGCATGCAGAGTGCTCTACGAACAACCACCTTTCCGAGTGCTCTACAAATAACCACTAGATGAAGTCACGTTGACCAAGACTAAATATTTATTAGACTATATTTGTTGAGTGAATATGAAGATGCCCTTTATGAGTGAACCACGATATATCCTTATGTTCATCTTACTATTGTTTTTTAAAATTATTATATCCTCTAAGTCAACCTTACGATATGTGAGTATCAACCCACACCTGTATGAGTTTGACCCGCAAATTTTAAGCATTAACACAGGGTCCATAGTTTCGATCCCTAGTTTGAGGACCCAAGATCATGTAAGAATCCTATGTGGACTCAACTAGTTAGGATAAAGGAGAAGTAATGGGTTGGTAATACAAATCAAATGAGAGCATTTTTGCTCACCACCATAAACTATGGTGTATGCTTACCATATACCTAATCAATTGACATATGTCAATTCACTTAATCTTGGTTATGTTTTTCAAAATTGAAAAACTAACATTTAATGTGAAAGTTAACTAGAGTTAAGTGAAATGACACGTGTCAATTGATTAGGTGTATAGTGAGCATACACCATAGTTTATGGTGGTGAACAAAAATGCTCCCCAAGTCAAATAGAGTTTGAATACGTGTAAAGCTACATCCTATAATTGAGGAATACACTTCCAACATGCGTTTGAAAATAAGCACTAATCACTACTGCTCCATACACGGTTGGGATTGGGTGCAACGGGTGAATAACCAACCCTCCATGATAGATGGAAGTTGGCTACCATTGCATCTATATAAAATGAATTCCCTGCTCACAGAGAAAGTGTTCTACGTTCAAGGGGTCTATCACCATTAGAATATAAAGGTCTCTAAGTGAGTAGAAGAGTTCCTTGACAACCACGATGGCTTCGACAGTTATGCTGCACAAATGTGTTCTCCTGAAACTACTGATATGGTACTACTATGGTTGCTTCGACAAGTTTGTCTTCGATCCTTATGTCTGATTGTGGTCTAGGGTTAATGTTAGAATAGGATTTGTTCCAACAGATCATTCCCTAGTTTTGATGGGCATCCTGAATTGCCGATGACCACGTTTATTATGTTTCATATCGGAAACACGAAAACAATCGTCTTCAACACATAAATCACTGCAGCCGCTTGGTCAGTTTTATTGTTGGTTTCCACTATTTACATTTCAGAAAATAGACATCGATATCTCAGGACTCGTACCAAATCCTCACCATATTCACCTTCACCTTCTTTCCATTCGTATTCTCGTGGTCTCATTTCTGGAAGAGAGCTGGAAAGGACATGCATTTTTAATATACGCGAACAAGACAGCTAAACCAAAAACTAGTAATCCACTATTAAAAACAAAAAAAATTACAAAAAGTGAACCCCAGGGACCATAATACAGATAACAAAAACACGCAAAACCGCCGCAAGATAAAAGGAAAGTGAAAAAAGAGACGTTCCAGTTTCCACTCTAATACATGTAAACCTCAACCAAAAGCTGGAGGACATCAGTAAACAAAGAATTGATCAGACAAACAACATTGTCATGCAGAGGCACACAGTGACTATGTATGTATGTACTTGCACATTATATGATAAGGACGATTACGACGATCACGACGACCACGACCAAAACTACCAGCACCCACCAACACTGCAACAGATAATAGACCAACATTGAAGATAAGATACGCTGCTTCAGACAAGAATTTGACAGGAAATAACAAACAGGAGATAATCAGAATCAAATTCTAAGATAACGTAAAATTATTGTGTGGTAGGGCGATCTTGTTCGCAAACTACCCAAACATGTCCTCTACAAAATCTCTGCTACCCCAGACCAGACAGTCTTCTTGCTATTTGTCACTAAACAAAACAAATGAAAGTTTGTGTTCGCAATTTTGCTCGTAAATTCCATTTCTTATTGCAACCTAATGTCTTCTTTTCTATATTATGTATCACAGTCTAGATGACTTGATGTGAGGATGCTAATTCCTTTTGTGATAACATTAATTCTCACTTCTTTTTTTAACGTGCACAATTCTAAACACATCCTTTTCCCCTAACAGATCAATCACAAAGAACTAAACACCCTGTATTAATGGTAAGTGGGGTAGATAAGACGTGAAAGTTAACTAGTTTGTTTAATTTATTGTTTACTCCTTACCCATGAGCATCTGGATTTAACTCCTTTGGACGCCTTAGCTAGTTGAACTCTAGCTTGGGTCGTTGCAGCAGAAGAGTTGTCAATGTTTGATTGAATGTCATCTGCAATGATAGAACAATATGCCCGATAAATAAAATAAGAGCAAAAAGCTCCATGAATGCAAAGTGAAAGTGAGCTGTATTACCAATGACTACACCCTGCTCATGGACGAGAACAGCAAGGTCCTTGAAAATTTCACTAGCTTCCCCTATTTGTGCTTCTATGTCTCGAATACCCTGTTCCCTCTCCTCAATGATGGCCTCATTGAAAGCAACCTCATTATCAAGCAAAAGTAACTCCTGCCTGTAGGTGAGGTGTTTGTTCAAAACAGAAATGCGAATCCTTGTAAAACGTGTATCAACCCAACCCATGTGTAAGGGTGTGTGCATGCAAAGATGCTCAAACTATTAACCATACACGGTCAGTTGTCAGCCGAAGTTAAGACTCCCTCCCAATGTACACGATTCATAGAAGCAACTTGAGACTTTGAGCCACTGAAAATACAAAAGATAACTTTGGCCATAGCCATGGGATGGGATGGGAGCTCCAAGTTTTTTAACAATACAAGAGTTAAAAAGTTGAACTGAAGAACGGTAAGCAATATTCAATCATTTTTTCATATGATGAAAAGACAAAAGTGGAAGGTGAAGGGAAGGATGATGTGAAATTGGTAACGAGTCAATGAGAGAAGAAATAATAAAACGAAAAGAAAAAGGACTGGAATGTTAGGCAGAGCAAATGATGTGAATATAGATAGAGAGCATGGAAATGGGTTACCTCTTTTGGTCCTGAAGGAAAGGTTGGCGGTGCTGATCCCTGGTGCTGCCACTGCTAGGTTCCAAATATTCCCCAGAGGCAGAGGCGGAAGCTGCAGAGCTGTTGTCAAAGCAAGCACCAATAAAACAAGGAGAACAAAAACAAACAAGAACAGGAACAAGGTGTGGAGGTAAGCCAATGTCATACATACACACACAAACACAAGTATAAATATTTGAATTAGAAAGGTGATAAGGAGGAGAAATGTAGCAGTAGGGTAGGGGTGGTACGTTGGCAAGGAAGGCATGTAAGTAGACTCGCGCTCAGAGGCGAGCTGTTGAACTTTCTGAAATTCTTGCAATGTGGTCTGGAAATCTCTTGCAAGCTTCGCATCTTCTATCTGCTTACTCGGCTGAAAAATCATCACAACATTTTTTCTTATTATTATTATTTTTTTTTTTTGAAATTTGAATTAAATTAGAAAGAAAGAAATGCCTGAAATTGTTGCAGTGTGATTTAGTTTAGTAGATGAAATTCAAAAGGCGGAGGCATGAGTGATGAGAGTGAGTTGAGTGAGTGAGTGAGTGAGTGAGGTAAAGAAAGAAACGCACATTGACATTGGATTGGTGATCAGATTGGGTGAGGGATTTGAGCTTGGCAGACGTATCTTTTACCAGCTCAAGTACGCGTTGCCTCGTGTTGTGCCTGCACTTTGCATTTCCACTCGTTACATTACATAACAATAAGAACACATTAATCATGAACGATTTTGCATAACAGAGAGAGAGAGAGAGAGACGCACAGCTTCTGGCGGTGATCGGGAGTGTCCTTGGCAGTCCCGATGGCATCGACCAGTCGACGGAAAGTGCCGACGGCAGTGTTGATCTGGAATATACCGGCAGCCACCGCCTGAGACGGAAACGCCGATGCCTTCCTTCCCCATCCTCCTCCGCCACTCTGCACATCTTGAAAGCTCATTTCTTCCTTCTGTTTTTTTCTTTCTTTCTTTCTTGTTAATTTCTAATAAGATCAGTTGGGAAGGAGAGGGCGCATCACAGCTTCACAGGACAGCTGCTTGATTGATGAAATAAATTAAATCAAAATTAATAGAGTTAGACTTGGACCAGTGGGATCCATCATCGATCTACGCTCCACGTTTCTCTCTTTCCTACTAATCTATCTGTAACCGTAAAGTGAGCCGTCCTCCAAAACAGAGACAACACTAGAAATATTTTTGCTTTGCTGCCTGACACTAGCAAATTTGCTCTTAATGTTGGTATTTTCCTTTTCTTTTCAATTCATTAACGTCATAATTTAGTGATGATGCTCCGATCTTTCTCTTAACGTCGGAAGAGGTTCGATTTCTCTCCACCAATTGACTGAAAATTAAATAAAAAGAAATCCATCGCTAATTAGACATCTGACATTTTTCTCCCTTTTTTGTATTTATGTATTTATTTCATTTCATACTTGTAAATTTATTATTTCTAATATGTAAATTGAATAAATTAAATAAAAATTAGATAATGGCATGATTTTATTTCTATACGCATTTGAATTCAATAAATAAATAGATAATTAAATGATAGAATCGAATCAGAAAATAAAAAAAAAACATTTCCTGTAAAAGAATACAAAAGCCACAAAATTAATTTGTGACTTAGTGGACGACCACATTCTGTAATTTATCTGCATACGTGGCTTCACCTGTCGATTTTATACCCGTCAGTCAACGGCGCACCGCAACCACCAACCAAATGGCAAATACCAAACCAAAGTAGCAAATTAGCAACAGCAAGGAAGAGAAACAAGAGTAATTAGAGACTAGAGAGCACCTCCACCATTTGAAATGATTTCTCTTCTCTATCTCTACTAGTAATAGCAAGTGCAGAACTACTCCACTTTACAGAATTACAGATGAGCATTTAAATTAGTATCTAACTATGCATATACCCTACCAACGGAATGACTGATCCTTCCTTCCGTATACAAATACAAATAGGATTATCGTCGTCGTATGCATATGTGTATGGCGTATGCGGATGCATGCATGACAAGAAGAGTGCGTATTTCGCTGCCCCACACACACCTGTTTGTATGTATGCATCTATGCATGTATGATGTATCTCCCTCCACTTGTCTTGCTTACCTAATTCACAAGTAACCTGCAGTGCAGAGTACTGATATAACTTAGACCCATTTGAATAAACCAACCATCAGATCAACTGGTGATGACTTACCAAGTGACTCACGCAGGTATACGGCATCTTGGCTTTACAACAAATTCAGGCAGATATATTTGGCTCTCTCTTTTTACGACCCAATCAATATGCTAATGCTCAAGGCTTCCAAGTACGGCAAAAGGGTTAACAAATCCACTCCATCGTGTACTAGTGTAGTACTAGTCCGTCTTTAAAAAAAAATTGAATTCCTGTCAGTGCCCTAAGACACCTAATACTTTATGAGAGCAGGTAAGGAAGCATGCAGTTCAGCCAAACATTGAAAGATCCAATTCAACAGCTGTTCCCTCGGTAGCTCTAGAAGAAGTTCCGCCTGCAACATGAGACGCAACCAACATGATGATATCGTGACAAAATTTTCTTTTACGAAACTTAGCTCACTTGTCAAAATGTAAAAGAAAATTTAATCATGAAATATGAGATTACCTTGATCTGGTCACCCTCAAAAACCAGAGAGTTTCGGTAGACATCAGAGACCATTGATTCGGTAATCAGCTTGAAGACCTTTTTCTTCATACTTGTTTTCATAAAAACCATCTTTCCTGAGGCATATATCTTGCTTATTCCAAGATCTGCTGCCATCCTCCTCACATAAAGCTTCTTTAAAAGAATCTCCATGGAGTGTGGCTCCTTTCCATATTGCCTGCGTAAATTCTCAGCATAATGCATCAAACTCCAGATATCTTTCTCAGCAGCTATCTCGGCTTCATGAATTATCTCCATGGGATTCTCCAGATAATTTATGTATTCAGAGGGGAGATGAGGATTTAAATTTAAATCAATCTGAAAAGCACATAAAACACACCCATCAAATACAAATATTCATGCATGTTGTCATCCCAATCTCTTCTAGGAAGTACAGTAGGATGTGTCAAAATTAATCAGCATCTATCCTTGTTCAAGTGTTTATTTTAAGATGCTGAAAGTGATAGTAGAAATACCTCAACGGACCAGTAAGGAACTGAAACTACACGGTGTTCATCAACCTGGCATCAAACAAACAAAACAGCAAGTTTTGAGTTCAAAATTTCACATAAGAACTCAAATTCTAGACTTTGAGTGGGCCTAACGAATGAACAGTTACTACATGTGTGCATTGTTCGAGAGAGGAAGAGAATATATTGAACACCATTTTAGATATTTTGAACCATTTCCATCTCATACATTAATCTTTTATGCAGTTACAGAACAAAAGATATTGCAAATGCAATAATAATAATGACAATAAAACTAGCCAAAATTGCACTTAAAATGGAAACAAGAAGTAAAAGGTAAAATATTGAATCATGTGTGTAAACCTTGGATAGGCTCTCAAAGAGCATTTCAAAGAAGAGATCAATGCCAACATTTCCAACATCCCCTGTTTGTTGCTCACCAAATATGGTACCAAAGCCTCTGATTCCCATGTCCTTCTCTGCAAGTTGGAAACCTTGCCCAAGTTCACAGCATTCCTCAAGAGCTGCAAGTCGCTCCTAGAGCATGACCACAATGATTGCTACTTTAAACACTCCAAAGTAACCACAGACAAGTAAATCTAGAGCAAAGTAGATAATTGCCTTTAAACTGTATCTAACATAGCATGCAATCATGAAAAACAAGTGCTAAATATCATGAAGGGTAACACAAGTAGTTACAAAAATGTATACAATATTCTATAAGGGAGAAGAAGTACCAGCGCTTGATCAGTTAGCAGTGACTTCTCTGGATAGAACAAGTATGCATGAGCTTCCTTATCTGCCCGGCCTACCCTTCCCCGCAACTACTACCATTTATGCATTTAATGAAACAAAAAAGAACACAGTAAGTAAAATGGATTAGGGGTTGGAGAAGCTCAGGTACCATTACATTCTCCTGTTTAATAATTGAAAAGCACTTAAAATAACCATAATAACAATTTCAAATGTTAGTATTCCTTATATGTTGCACCATTTGGAAACATATAAAGAAAGAAGAAAGAATAAGACCTGGTACAACTGCGCTAAGCCAAATTGTTGAACATCCTGAATTATGATGGTGTTTGCATTCTGAATGTCAAGCCCACTTTCTACTATATTAGTGCATATAAGAATCTTGATTTCACCTTGTGCAAAATTCTCCATGGTTTCCTCCAGCTGCTTTGAATATTGCTGAAAAAATATGCAGATATAATTACTGACATGCAGAAAAAGAAACTCAAATGAGCAAATCCCTTTATAAGTTGTAACAAATGATGCATACAACTTGACAAAAAAAAAAATGATGCATACGAAGAACTTTCTTGTTCAAATCCTGATGCATCCTCAATTTCCCTAATTCTTAAAATTTCATCACATAGTGGTTTCCTTTGGAGATACCAAATGCCAAAGCAAGAAAGAAAATACCTTCCCATGTGCAATAGCTATTTCAACATTAGGAAATGACTGTTCAAGAAAGTCCATCACTTCTTCAAGTCCTGCATCATAAGAACAGAAGTGAAATATGTATCAGCCATCAAGAGAACCAAAAGTTTATGTGGGAAAACATTCTTGAATTTCCTCTAATTAGACTGTTATTCAGTAATGGAATTTTTTTTGTTCTTTAGACATGTAAGCCAAATGAACCTAGAACCACGAACAAGGCAGTCCTCATTTACTCTACAAGTTAACAGGCTCACAAAATAGTGACATATGCATGTAGTCATTGATAAAACTGAAAAGAAACAATAGAGACACTACTACCGAGCAACATCATGACAAAGAAATTTGTGCTTAGCGTTTGTAAGAGTATTAAAAAGCATAGATCATCATTCAATGAGGTTACCTTTAATGCGAGGCAATACATAAAACACTTGGCCTCCTCTGTCCAGCTCATGCTTAATTGCTGATAAAACCTTTTCTTTACTGTATGCAGAAAGATGGGATTTGATAGGGACCCTTTCTGGTGGTGGAGTTGAAATCAAACTGAAAAATTGAAGAATACATAATTACAGCAGCACCAAATTAAGGGACTGGCATTACGCAAGAACTACGGCAAAGATAAGTCATTACCAAGTATCACAGAACAAATTGAAATGGGCATCTAGATCTAGAGATCTCTATAAGTCCAAAGACAAGTCATTACCTAACATCACGGAACCCAGTCAAGGCTAAATACAGGGTTCGTGGTATAGGTGTTGCAGAAAGAGTAAGAACATCAACCGATGTTTTGAAAGAAGCAATCTTCTCCTTTTGTTTGACGCCAAACCTCTATTTAGCAGAAAGAAAGTGCATGCTTTAAGACAAAGAAAGAAGATTATGTAGGTACTAGGAGAGAATCTAATTTGTTGCAGATAGCAGATTCGATGACAAACCTGTTCTTCATCAACCACTAACAAACCCAGATTACTATACACAACACGACTTCCAAGAAGCGAGTGAGTCCCAACAATTATGTCCAATTGCCCCTTTTTAATCATGTCCAAATGCCCCTCCTTTTCTGCTTTGGTCTACATGCCATAACGGTTGTGATCAGTTTAAGACTAAAGGGAGCAGTTTGAAAATTTCAGAATGCATAAGATGTGATACCCAATAAGTATAGTATGTAAGAAAAAGACTTGGGTTACCTGAAACCTGCTGAGAAGTCCAACCTTGACGTCGGGGTAGATAGAAAACCGGTCTGCAATAACATCAAAATGTTGCTTGGCCAAAACAATAGTGGGTGCGAGAACCATAGCTTGCTTCCCTGCAGAAACTACACAGAAGATGGCACGCAGGGCAACTTCGGTTTTGCCAAAGCCAACATCTCCACAAATTAAGCGGTCCATTGGGGTTTCTCTGGCGGTTAGATCTTTGTGAACATCAATGAAAGCCTGCTGTTGATCAGGGGTGGGTTGATAAGGAAACTGAGAAACAAAGTGAGTCATGGCAGAAGTGAGTGGGTAGGGAGGGCGTCTTTGTTTGAGTCTGTGAAGATACAGCTCCATCAAATCAACAACCATTTTCTGAATGGCAATCTTTCCTTTGGTCTTTCTTTTCTCCCAGACACTGGTGTCACTCAATTTGCTCAACGTGCGAGGCCTTTTCGTTTCGTTCGGCCTGAAACAAAACATACAGATTATAAGTTAACGTATCGTTTTTTGGTTGGTTTGTTTGTTTTGTGGAATGAATTCATGAGATTGAAAAGGAAGAAAGACAGAAAGGAAGGAAAACGTACAGATTATAACGATAGAGCAAGCGAGAGGCCTGCTTGACAGGAAGCTTAGCCATGCCATCGGCATACTCGATGAAGACGTATTCAATGGAGTCAGTCTTGGAAGCGGAATTGAAATTGGGACTAGTACTGTCTAACTTAATCCCAACGAATCGACCAATGCCGACCTTCTTATGGACGACGTAGTCCCCAGAACGAAGAGTGTAGGGGTCCACCTTGTAACCAACATCGCCTCGGAGCTTCTCGAGGCCCCTCTGCTGCTGCTGCTTCACCATCTCTATGTACTTATCCGCCTCCTCCGATTCCATCACCGTTCTCGTTCCCGAGCCCTCTCTCTTGCTTTGCTCCCGCCGAATCCTCTCGTTCAGAATGGATATGTCGTCGCCCTCTGCCGAATCCTCTCTCTTCCCCGATTTAGGTTTCCACTGCTGTTCCGTGCTTTGGGTGTGGGTGTGAGTCTGGGCGGTGTAGACAGCGTTGGGCACCCAGCAAACCAGTCCTCTTCTTCCGAGTCCGACTCTGCAACAAAAGTTGGCCCCGGGACACGGCGGCACCCTCAGCCCTCGAATTGCCGAGCTAGAGTTTAGGGCGGGGATTGGGAGGAGCAACGCCATTTTTTGATCCCTGCAGAGCGACCCTTCAGTGGATAAAGTTGAGAGGTTTTAGAGGGGTTTTACAGTTTTACTTTCACCATTCGTTTTTTCACTTTTGCTGCTGCTTTTGCAATTGCATTGCGAACAATATGAGAGTTGAGATAAGTGAGTCATCGACTCAATTCAATGGCAGGCATTTGATATGTGGAGTGGAAGATTATTATTATTATTATTATTTTGTCAAATGGAGTGGAGGATATGTGCCCACGCCATGCCACCCAGTCCCACACACACTGACTGAGACTCAACACCAGATATTTCTATTTTTGGGCCATTTGCCTTCTTGTTGTTGGTAATGGACCTTGGTGGGCTTACAACTTTCCCAACAAACACAGCACTGTTTCCTTTTTTTAAGATTTTTTTTTTTTTTAACAAACTATACTATTTATAGTACACTAAGGAGAGAGAATGAGCTTAATCTCATAATACGATAGCAATAATGTAATCCAGATATGTTTTTAGCAAGAATCGAACCTAAGACAGCTCACTTACAAGTGAAGAGTAATATCACTAGACCATAGTATTAAATGATTTTTTTATAAGATTTTTATCACCTTTTATTTTTGGGAACTTTAACGAAAAGCTCATAGTACGGTTCACTTTAACGAAAAACCACATTTTTATACTAAAAAGTCAATTATGATACTATTCACTTTATTCTTGATTTTATCCTTATTGTTAAAACTTAAAGTTTTCAAATCTTTTTCATTAGTTTTCCTTTTATTTTTTTGCCAACTCATCAGTTTGATTTTTTATGTTTCAAGTTCGTCAATTTAGTCCTCTTATCTAGTGTCCTCCACTTGACACAATGTGATTGGCTTTGTGGGTTCCACAAATGTCCACACAAGTATCCTAACAAATATTTTAACAGAATATAATGACAATGACTACATTGATTAGTAAGATAATAGATAAACACTAAACGGATGAGTTTGAAACATAAAGGATCAAACTAATGAGTTGGTAAAGATAAATGATCAATTGTGATAATAAAAAAATAAAATAAAAAACTTTCTTCTATAAAAGTCTTTCCAACTGAAAAAAAAGAAGAAGAAGAAGATGATGATATACCAAACCGTTCCATTTTAAGCTTTTCAAAGTGGTTTATGTGAGCTTGAGTCTTGTATTTAGAAACCATGCTATTTAAGTTGGATTTATAGCACTAATTTTGTAGTTGTGTGAGTTTTAAAAGTTCCGAGAGCCATAATCAGATTCAAAGTTTTCAGCCCACCCTGTAGAATCTTAATCAACCATCTCCCTCAGTTATCTTCCTTTGTAGACTAGTAAGCAAATTCATCTATTTTTTACATATAACAAAAAAGATTTGTAACTTAAACCGAACAAAACAATAGTTCAGAAAGTTTATTACCAATGATGGAGGAGAGATTTGAGGGATACATTACGGCCCAGACTACTACAAGAGGCAGCAATGGGGAATTTTTTGTAATGGGCAAAAGCCTGATGGAGCAATGTCGCGTGAAGGTAGAAGATCTACAAGTCATGAACTTCTTTTTCCGGAGAAGAAGCAATGACAATATCTTTGAGAATAAGTATCGGCTAACTCTGTGCCCGCAGTCGCGGTAATACAGAGGATGCAAGTGTTATCCCAAATAATTGGACGTAAAGCGTTTGTAGGTGGCTTTTTAAGTCCGCTGTCAAATCCCATAGCTCCACCGCCTAGTGGCTATGGGGAAGTCAGAATAGGAGAGAGCACTCATCTTGGGTGGGTTTTACTACTTAGATGTTTTCAGCAGTTATTCGCTCCGCACTTGGCTACCCAGCATTTACCGATGGCACAATAACTGGTACACTAGAGGTGCATCCTTCTCGGTCTTCTCGTACTAGAGAAACCCTGAAACACAAAGTTGATGGCTCCATCGAGATGGCTCGTAGCGTGGGGAAATGCTTCACACAAACCTATAACATCGATTATCTCGAGACGTTTGCTCTTGTGGCCAAACTAAACTCAACTTCGTACGAATCATTTTGTCAGTTACAGCTAACAGATTTTAACCACTGCATCAGCTCGATGTCAAAAGGGCCTTTCTTCATGGAGACCTCCACTAAGTTTTTGAGCTCAGGGGGAGGAATGGAAAGTTTTCAAGTGAAAAAAGGTGATATATGGTCTCAAGTAGTCTCCTCAGCCATGGCTAAGTGATCCTAATCACATTGGACCTAGTGCCCAAGTGGTTTGGCCAATAATGGGTCAAGAAATATTGAATGGTGATGTACGGCGGGGGGGGTTTCGAGGAATACAAATAACCTATGGGTTTTTTTTTTTTTTTTTTTTTCAAATTTGGCTAGCATCTGTAATAACTAGTGAATTACAACTCTATTGTATTGCAATTGGTGCATTGGTCTTTGCTGCCTTAATACTTTTTTTGTTGGTTGGTTCGATTATCACAAAACTGTTACGAACTAATGAGAAATTTTATTTGAACCCAATTATCGTCTCACACCCAACTAATAAATTCTCACTACTAAACTTTTAAATTTGCCCTTAAATGACTGGAAAAAACAAAAACAAAAAAACAAAACTAAGAAACTCAGAAATCACCGACTATCAACAATACTCTCTACATCCTGTCTCCCGTTCTCTGTGAACTCAACCCAAGCACCAGTGACACTTTCCGTCGACGTCACCAACGACCACGATCCCCTCTTCTCTTTACCCTTGCCAAAAAAAAAAATCAGAATGTTTAGCAGTCGTCGCTGTCGACAATGGCACCGCTATATACTCTTTCGTCAACTCCCCTCCTCATCGACATTTTTCTCTTCCCTATCGGTTTGAAATGTAGTTTCCGTTTTCATGCATCATTGTTCGAAGTTTTATCCCCTGAAGCTTTTGATGTTAAATCCCGCTTGTTTGATAATAAAAGTAAAAATACTAATTCAAATCGAAGAGTAATACAAGAATATTTTCCATTCCCATATCTATTTAAAAATTGTACCAGAATGATTGGGATATATAGTTCACATAAATTAATAGATACAGAAAAATCAAACTCAAGAACAAGAAAGAGAGAAGGACGGTAGCAGTGGTCACGAACGTTCGGCATTGGTTCGCTAGAAAAAAATAGAGAGCGTGTAGAGAGATAAAAAGAAAAACACATAAGAAAATACAAAGTGAAAACAATAAGAAATTTGATATATGTGGTACGCCACACCCATTCATCACATTGATCATCTTTGATCTTTAATCATCAAGGCACTACATATAAAATCAATCCACAATCATCTTTGTTCAGCATCGATCACAACATCTAGGGCTACTCAGAAATTGTATTTAGAAAGAAATAATAATAATAATAATAATAATCCCATATAACAAGAGCAAGAGTAGGAGGAGAATAATTCATTAATTAAATACAAGAAGACTGTTTTCATAATTGCAAGCAATATGCCAATATCCACAAGTGTTCCATCTAGAATAATGCGTTGTATTTGATACCAATAAATAGAAGAATCTGAAGAGACGACGATAGAGCTGTGGCCGCCAGGCTTCCACGAGAGAGCAACGAAAAGGCATCGTTTGCAGAATTTGGAACTGAGTTCCTGGAATTACTAGGAGCACGACTAGGAGGAGAACCTGCTGAGAGAGAGAGAGAGAGAGTAATTAACTAGATGATGGTGAGGAGAGGACAAACAGATAATTAACGAGATTAATTTATTTTACTATGGACATGATTCATTAAGAGTAAGACAATGCTGGTAATTAGTGCGATGAATGAATCTTACTTGAAAGGCAGGCGAGCGGGTTGACACGTTCACCACATCTTCCAGGCAACTGCTGAGCCTCGTTGATATTGATGCCGGCTTGCTCAGCTTGATTGGTGGCCCGGTTGCTGATCATACTACACAAACATTGTGGATTAGACTTTATCATCGATTTGAGAGGATCGCAACAATTGTCGGGCGGGTGACGGGTTCCATTCAGGTAGTTGAGGCAAGGAGCAAGCTGACTGAGGCAAGACGTGTCTCCTTGAGCAGCAGCCACCATTAACATTCCTTCCTGCGCCATGATGCCGGCAAAAGCTAGTATTACTAGTGCATTGTTTTGGTACTTAGCCATTTTCCAAAGTTTCCTTGAGAACGCAGTTGTTTCTTGTGTTGTTAATTTGTATGATGTTTCTGTTAACAGCTAATGCATATGTGTGTGTATATATACATATAGCAGCAGCACATCACACATGAATGAGATGACTTGAGGTGAGGATGGGTTTGGATTAATTCAGTTGGTTATCCAACTTCTGGTTGCCTAATTGACTAATAGTCTAATAATTAAAGTCACTGTCGCAAGTAGGAAGGCGGTGGTGCTGGTAACTGGCTCATTACATTTTATAGCTGATATAGATAAATAGGTGAAGCTACTTTCCCTCCCAACTCCCAAAGTTCCAAGGAATTTCAAACGTACAGAAATCAATCCCCAATGTTGTTGTTCTTGTTCTTGTTCTTATTATTATTATTACTAGAATATGGGCACACACAAAGAGTGTGAGAAAATTTTTTATTTTTGTTTTTGAAATAGAAGGAGAGAGGAAGAAAGTGATAAAGAATGTGGGAGTGGGAAATTTTTTTTTTATTTTTTTGAATGAGAGATATGTTATGATTACATATAGGTGATACTTTGAAAAAAAAAAGCAAAATTTGGTTGTGTGAAATTACATTTATGCCCTATATTTCTTATTCATGTTCCGTTTTAATTACAGGATTAAACTGGTAATTTAATAGAGTTTTGGTTGACAATGAATGTTTTATTAATTAGTAGAGATTATTCACCTTATTAATTGATTTGCCCCTGAAATTGCATTTAGTCTCGCTTTACCTCTGAAATTGGTTTTATCTCACTTTGTCCCATAAAACTGCCATTTTCGTCTCACTTATTCCTAGTTCACCTCATGTCACATCCCGATCCAAGCCCCCACCACATTATAGGCTCGACTCCGAACTCATACGAGAACTTCCCAGTGGGTCACCCATCCTGGGATTGCTCTCGCGCGAACTCGCTTAACTTCGGAGTTCCTACAGAACTTGAAGCCAGTGAGCTCCCAAAAGGCCTCGTGCTAAGTAGAGATGAGAATATACATATAAGGCTTACATGATCCACTCACCTGGCGATGTGGAATGTTACAATCCACCCCCCTTAGGGGCCCGACGTCTTTGTCGGCACACTTCCGGCCAGAGATTGGCTCTGATACCAAATTATCACATTCCAGCCTGAGCCCCCACCACATCCTGGGCTCAACTCCGCCGTATCACGATATTGTCCGCTTTGGGCCCTGACCACACCATAACGGTTTTGTTTCTGGGAACTCACACAAGAACTTCCCAATGGGTCACCCATCATGGGATTGCTTTCGCGCAAACTCGCTTAACTTCAGAATTCCGATGGAACCCGAAGCTAGTAAGCTCCCAAAAGGTCTCGTGCTAAGTGGAGATGGGAATATACACATAAGGCTTACATGATCCACTCCCCTGGGCGATGTGAGATGTTACACCTCATTTTCGTCTATTTTATTAAATAAACATTAAATTAAAGGGTAGTATAGAATTTTACTTTTGACACTGTTCTTTCCCTCCAAATTGGCTGCTAAACAATCCCAAATCCATTTTTGATACTCTAATTAAAACCTATGTTTGTTTCTCTTGCATATTGGTGTGGAGTAGAAGTTGCAGCTGTTGGAAAAAGCAAATAATGAGTTTGTGTTTCAAAATCTAATTCAAGCTAGTCATTGAATCCAACGGTTGCAACTCAACTACGCATCAATCCGCAAGAGAGAGACGAAAGTTTGAATTAGAGTTGTTGAAAAATGGAATTGGAATTGAAATTGTTTTAGCAAGTTAACGGCAAAGAATTGTGTAAAAAATAAAATGCCCATACCACCTCTAATTTAACATTTATTTGACAGAATGGGTGAAAATGGATTGAATTGAGACTAAATGAGACAAAAATGGAATTTAAAGTGAGAAAAACAGTTTTAAGGGGTAAAATGAGATTAAAAGACAGTTTCAAGGGGCAAATAAATTACTAAGCCTTATTATCTATTATCTATATATATAAAGGGAGAAGGCCAGTTTGGTGAAACATTCAAAATGCCAAGAATGCCCTCACTTCATATGCAAAATACCAAAAACTAACTGTCTAAAAAATAGGGTTAAAAACGTAATAATACGGAATTCTCAACGATAATAATTCACAACCATTGGATAAGACACTCACACTTTAAATTCATTTTCACCCTTTAGATCAATTATTCCACAACTGCTACATCACATCCTATTTGAAGAAACACTCCAGATGGAAAGAGGGAAACCATCTATTGCACGTTCAGAGCAGCAGTTGCAGCGGTTGACAGACCGGACATGGAACCGCCATTTATCGCACGTTCTCGATTCCCACAGAACATACAAAAGGGAAAATTGGATGAATTTCTCAAACTCACTTTTGTCTTCCGTACAAAACCCCCTCCTCCATGCCTTTTCTGTATGATTTCTTCATCTGCAACTGGCAATCCGGAAAATAAACGCTAGGATTCACACAAATCGGTGAGTATTTCCCCCTCTTTATTCAATTTCCGTTTTGTTGTTGTCCCATCGTTTGCACATTGTTTTTTCTATTTTTTCGTTTGGTGGCCTTAGGTACCTTCCATTACTCTCTCTCTCTCTCTCTCTCTCTCTCTCTCTCTCTCTCTCTCTCTCTCAAACATTGCACTGAGGAAGAATACTCACTCTCATATTTTCTGTGCTTTCCTTGGTTTTTTGGGTTTGTTCAAGTTTTTAATGGGTTTTGAGTTTATTGTAGTCAATTTTGGGTTTTGTAGAGTCGGAAAATCGAATACTAAGAAGCAGAGAAGGAGATCAGTGAAGAAAAGGCAAGCAAAAGTAAAAGGTAAAAAACGTGAATTATTTTTTATTATTCTCATTTTCCAAAAAACAATTTTTTGATATTTTATAATTACTGTTTGGTTGCTGGGAAAATTGGGTTACTGGGTAGCAAATAAATTTGATTGTTTTGGACTTATTGGGTCCCACCCAGATTGAGAGAAATGCGCCTTCCATCTGTGGTTTTGGAGTAGTTGCATGAAGTAAATTTAATTACATTGAGTCTACTGGATGGCTAAGAAATTTTTGGAAGTTGATATCTTTTTGTTGTGTTAAATACTTAAAACTATGTCAACATTATTTTCTTTTTTGGTGTTAAACAATCCCAACTCCATTTTTGATACTCTAATTAAAACCTATGTTTGTTTCTCTTGCATATTGGTGTGGAGTAGAAGTTGCAGCTGTTGGAAAAAGCAAATAATGAGTTTGTGTTTCAAAATCTAATTCAAGCTAGTCATTGAATCCAACGGTTGCAACTCAACTACGCATCAATCGGCAAGAGAGAGACGAAAGTTTGAATTAGAGTTGTCGAAAAATGGAATTGGAATTGAAATTGTTTTAGCAAGTTAACGGCAAAGAATTGTATAAAAAATAAAATGCCCATACCACCTCTAATTTAACATTTATTTGACAGAATGGGTGAAAATGGATTGAATTGAGACTAAATGAGACGAAAATGGAATTTAAAGTGAGAAAAACAGTTTTAAGGGGTAAAATGAGATTAAAAGACAGTTTCAAGGGGCAAATAAATTACTAAGCCTTATTATATTATTATAATATGCATGCGCTGGCACCTGGCAGTAACATATACCATAAAAGACAGTTTCAAGGGGCAAATAAATTACTAAGCCTTTCTAATTTATGATTAATTCTACAAAAATTGCTATTAAATCACTATTAGCATTAGCAAAAGTAAGAAGACACATCAAGTACAAGTAGAGGTAAAGGATTGTAGAGGGAAAATAAAGTTGAAACTTGAAAACCCACCCCAGGCGCCAAGTGGTGTTGCAGTTGCTTACCAAATAAAAACGACGACAGCAATTCCAATAAATTGAAACAAAAGCAAAGCGCAGATATGTACCCCCCTACCCCTTCGATTATTTGTCCTTATTCCCCCTCGCCTAGGAGCAATAGATTCTATTCCATCAGACATAGTATATCATCCCAACTTCGATAAGACTGATGTGAGGAATGTTAAGCGCCACGGCAGGGCCCCTGCAGTTCTTCCTAAGAAAAGAATACCCCATATCAATCACAAGCTTCTTCAGAAAGGATGACGACCTCCTCGCCTTCACATATGAATGCCCCATTATATACGCAACCCCTGTTTCCCTGGCCTGGATTAAATCCATCAGCTCTTCCCTTACTGCAGGATCCATACCCACATTTGACGGCACCTGAAACCTCACTTGGTGCCTCCTCATTTGTGGGTTCTCATCATCATACACTGATCCCATACTCCGCAGGGCCAAAGATTTGCTGCTTTGGATGGAGTCCCCCACACCAGAACCCTCTTGTTCACTAGCTATCAAGCTCAAACTTGATTGCACTGTCCTCGTGCTTATAACCGCCATCCTTCCATCAAATGATGTGTTCTCTGGGCTTGAGAATTGTGGTTCCCCCGCTTCCATCTGGATGAACTCTGCTATACTCTGTATGAGCAGGTCCTCAAAGTCCCCATCATCCCGTTGGATGTCTTTGTACCCATACCTCACAATGCACCTATACATACGATAAGGTCTTGGACATATCCGGCCAATCAGAAATCGTTCCTCAGGTGAAACCCATGGCACCTGAACTGACTTTACACAAACAAAAACCAACACCTTGTGGAATGCAGGAAGATTTGTTACAAAGTGAGAGAATATTGCAGGAACTCCTGTTGCCAACTCTGAGTATATGAGACCTATCCCAGGCACCCGGACTATACCAAGGCTCGGGCCAAGACCAAGTAGCCATTTTAACGAGACTTTGTTGTGAAGATCATAGTTATACTTCTTCCGTGTACCATAATGCCAGACATACATAACAATCATAAAGATGAACGAGAGAACAAAAGGGACCCATCCTCCCTGAGGTACTTTAATGAGTGCTGCTGATAAGTACACTCCCTCAATGAACCAGAAAAAAATCAGAAAAATCGCAGCCAGAACCACACTTTTCTGCCAAACAAAGATTATTACCAGTGCCATAAGGAATGTCGTGATAAACATAACCATCATGCAAGCAAGTCCTGAGAACCAAAAGTGAACAATTTGTCATCCTCACTTAATTGTTTAAGGGGCAGATAAGGAGGTGGGGATACAAAGAAATAACATACCATAAGCATTTCCGATCAAAGTAGTGTCTTGAAATCCAATGGTTATGGCAAGAGTAAGGATCATAAGGATCCAGTTAATTTCTGGAATGTAGATCTGCCCGCATATATGCTTTGAGGTGTGGACAACTTTGACTCGGGGGAAACAACCAAGGGCATGACATTGCTTGATGATTGAGAAAGTAGCAGTTATAACAGCCTGGCTTCCAACAATTGATGCTAGGGTAGCAATAACAAAGACGGGCCAAAATACAGGAGCTTGCGGATATGGGAGGACAGAGAGCAAAGTTACCAACACTGATTTAGAACAAAATTCTGGAAAGCAATATTGATAAATGTCAGGATGAACTAACCAGGTATGGAGTCATAGAAACTGTAACGAATGGAGCCAGGATGTTTAGACATGAAAGCAGCTTGACCCATGTATTGTACTACCAAACAAGGATATATAGCAAATGCAAACGCAAGCTGCACAAGCAAGAGCAAAAAAAAAAAAAAATATTCTCACTTTTGAAATTTCACAGTCCATATCATAATGATCAGGGCGTACAAAGCTAGAGTGGGTAGAGCAAACAAACCACATATTTTTTTTATAAAAATAAAAAGGTTATCATAAGATAAATAATAAACTTACTCTTATCGATAAGGCAGTGAAATGACCAAGATCTGCAAACATAGCTTCAGTACCTGATAAACATGCAGATGCCTAAAAGTTAGTTTACTTAAAATAGCAAGCATGCAGGAGCAAATCTTGAAATTAACGGCGTTGATAACTTCTTATTACTGCAGGGCTACGATAAAACTGCCAAAGAGGTTTCATATAGATAGTTACACCAGTACGATAACTTCTTGTTACTGCAGGGCTAAGATAACTCTCCCAAAGAGGTCTCGTATAGATAGTTACACCAGTACAACAACCAGTAAATATATTATTTATATGTAAAAAATTTCCATCAATTTTCGAATTCAGCGTACCAGTTATTGAGAGAAGAATCCCACCAAGAGAAATCCAACCATCTTTACCAGTCTCATGGAAAAACTTGATAATATAATGGGGCGACAATGCATGAACAATATCTGGGTTCCACTGTATTGTGTTGTACAGCCCAATGGAAAATATCGATATCAACCAGATTATTACAATAGGTGCAAACAAAAATGCTACCCTGTGGGTGCCACAATGCTGCAAAGCAAACAGGCCAACCAATATGACACATGCCAGCAAGAGGAGTTCACCTAGTATCAAAAGCAAAGCCAATTATATGATACACAGAGAAGTATAGAATAGGCATCATGAATTTCAAACTCGTTTATAAAAAAGATATAAGAAAAAACTGAAAGTGAAAAAGAAATGCTCAAAGATATAGAACAGGCATCATGAATTACCATCAGTTAATTTCTCTTCTGTAACTTGTAACCCTGATACCGATGATAAAACTGCACGTGAAAAAGAAATGCTCAAAGATTTAACTCCTTAATCAAGGGAAGTGTGAAAACATTATTATAGAAACAAATATTAAAAATCAACAATCTGGGTTTGCCTAGACAAAATATTTTATTAGGTAGAGCTTACTGAAAACTTATCAGCATTTGAGCATAAAACAATCAACATATCAACAAATAACAGAAAGACTGACAGACATTGTATTATTAAGCGGCTCTACTAAATGAATGGTAGGAATATATTCAGAAGTGTATTGGATGCGGCGAATTGTACATGTATACATCTTCCTCGTGTTTACAGGGATTGGAGCCCCAATTTTATTGGATATTCCCTAAGGGGCAAGACAACTTAGTAATGTTATCATAAGTTTTTTGTTCTTTTTTCTCATCTGTCTCAGGGTTCTGAAATGGGTGATTTACTAACATTAGATGAATATAGACTGTATTCAACATCAACAATTATTCTACAACTTAGTACCGTACCTGAAATTGCTGGAGTGAGCACGCCATCTCCTATGACCATGCAAGTGCCGAACAATACCACCACTAGTAGGGCCGTCCGTAACCTTTTATGCTTCTCCAAAAATCTCTTTAATGGGGAAGAGCTTACAACCTGTGATGAAGGACCGTATTTGTAAGCTGAAAGCTCCTCATCAGCTGCTTGCTGGTTGGGAAGTAAACTAAACTTTGCATGGCGGCAAAGCAGCGAGTAAAGCGCAAAAGTCCCACCTGAGACGAATTAGAATAAATATTGACCCTTTGGAGACCCAATAAGAAAAAGTATGAGATGTCACACAAAGGATGTATTCAAGTGTCACCACACCTTCACCATTATCGTCAGCACTCAATAGGATAAAGATGTACTTGAGCAAGGGTACCAGTGTAATGGTCCAGAAGATTAAAGAAAATGCACCAAATATCACTTCCTCAGAGTTATGGTTGTGCAGATTCCCTGTGAATGTGCTAGTATAAACATAGAGAGGAGAAGTACTAAGGTCCCCATAAACCACGCCAAGGCTTTGATATGCAAGTATGAGATTTCTGGAGAGATTCACCCATGAAAGCTGCAAAGCAACAAGAGGTTAATTGGTTACACTAGTCGGTAAGTAACAGATGAATCACATTCAGCCCAGGGCATAGGAGAAAGAATCCATATCTAAAATGATTACAAGCCTAAATCCTTAACTAGAGAACACAAACTATACTTATATGCCAACTAGTTGATATGGAAGTGATTGAATGAGGCATTCCATTACTTCTCGTTGTTTTCAAACTCAATTATTTATATATTTGGGCCTAGGTATCCTCTGATAAGAACGTAAAGCCACTCAATGAGTGCTGGTACAAGCACACAACAAATCCTCCTGAGGAAATAACGATTTAAAATATAAACCACACTGCACTAGTTGGGAAAAACCGGCTTCTTCTTTAAGGCGAAAAGTGCGAGACAAGATTGAGAATTTGTAATTTGTATTTAAGATCTCCAAATTACAACTAGTTAACAGAATCTCATTTGCTACTTAGTGGTTACACATACATGAGGATCGACCAGTGCTCAAATGAATTGAATTGAATTGAATTGAAATGAAATGAAATAGGTAAGGATTTGGGCGAGTGTGGAGAGGATAGATATTAGACAGACAGAAACCAAATCAATCCAAACAGCAGCAGAGAATCAATGAATGAATGCAAAAGTAATAAGAAAGAAAGAATGAATAGGGAAAAGAAAGCATCAGCAGCAAGTACCTGACTAGGAGGAGGAGGAGGATTCCGGGAGGGCGTCGAAATTGCAGAGTCCGGCTCCATCGCCGCCTAATCCTAAATTCCTAATCCTAATCTGAAGAGGCTATGCTAGGCTTCTTCTTCTACAAAACAACTAGCTATAAGCTGTCCATCTCAATCTCCTTGGAGGCTCTCAACACCTCATCACCTCATCTCATCATCACCTCTACTCTGCGTCCGTCTGTCTGCCTGTCTGTAACTAAACGCTTAAAACTGAGCACCTTTATATTTATCTTATAAGAAGAAGAAAGAATGATAGAAAGCATTTGATTTTTCAGATTTTTAGATTAGGTTACAAGGACTCTACTCTGGTCGTTTAGCTTGGTATGATTGAAATTATATCAACTAATTATAAAGCTTAAAAATTTTGGCATCCCTTCCTTGCCACCTAAATGATAAATCCCTAATTCCTGAAATAATTACGACGAGTGGAGGGAGGGAGGGAAGGGATTTTGCCATTTGCTCTCATCTGGGGCGGGGAGGCATATTCTCTTCTTTCGCTTCCCTCCTGAATCCCCCCACTCTCTCTGCGCCACCTGTCTGTCACTCTGAAAGTCAGTCTATTTCCACGCGCGTCCAATGCGTGTGTGTCTATTTCCTTCCTAATAAAATAAATCTAACTCGTCACCTATTACGGTTTAGTGGTATTTCTTCTTATTTGTAAGTGAAAGATTTTAAGTTCAATTTTTACTAAATGCGAATTTGAACCATATTATTACTAACTCATTGTGAGGCTAAGTTCACCCTCTCTTCCTTGGTGTAGATGCTATCATTAGTTAAAAAAATAATAATCCCACTCATCAACAAGAAATTTTGAATATTTTCAACCAACTTTATTAAGATTATGGGTATGCTTTGTTCAAAAAAAAAAAATTCCCACTCATCAACAAGAAATTTTGAATATTTTCAATCAACTTTATTAAGATTATGGGTATGCTAGATCATGGTTTCAGCACACTGAAAAATTCCTTCATGGAAAGTAGTTGGGGATTGGGCCAAATAGCAAATGAGGGGGGGGCATCATGATGCAGCTGATGGTTTATCGTTGTGGACTCTTTTCCCGTTTCGCTAGACTAATGGGCTGAAGATCGATGACCCAATTAAATTTACACAAAAATCCCTCCTCCAGTCATGTTTCCTCTCCTCAGTGGCTTATTTGCCTCATTCGTTCTAAATTTCAAAAAAAATCAGTCAGAACTCAGAACCCTTAACCAAAAATAAAAAATAAAAAATCAGAACGCTACCGTATGTATAAGTGAATCTTGGAATTTGGAGTGGAGATAAATAAAAAGTTAAAACTTTCTGCTGATATTTTATCTTTGCATCAATTTGCATATGCATCTCTATTTATTTATTTATTAATAAGAAAGAAACATTTAAAAGTTACACTATCATGACAATGTATATGACATTTGATCGATGGAGAAAGTTTCATCAAACAATTTGGCTTTTGCTTTTCCATTTAGTCAGGGTCACTACTAGGCCGAGAAATTGAACATCACATATGCCAATTTGCCTATTTAATTGGCAGCAGCATATATACATATATGTTTGATCGATAGTCATATGCATGCGCCATGCCATCAATGGCAACCCCCGCTTGTCCTTGAGAGCCAAGTGCCATGACAATGAACTGATATCACCAGTTGACTAGCACTAGCACTTGAAGAAGAAGAAGCTGGCTTTATGTAGCAGTTTGACGACACTATTTTACATTCAGCCATCACATGTTCCGCATCTGACAACGGCAGCAGCGGCGGCTGCAGGGTAGAATCCGAAGGTGGCAGCTCCCCTCCTAATTTCATCTCATCTTCTGATCCCATCATCATCTCCACAACTTTCACTTTTCCATCCTCATCATCAATATTATCATTATCATCACAAACTGACAGTACTAGTCCTCCTCCCATGACTCTCAGAAACTGCTCCAACGCTTTGCGCATCCATTCATACCGGCACACCCTAAATGCCTCCTTTATGCTTAGCTGTATCCATACACATTAATTAATTAATTAGCTAATTAATCTCTCCCACTCCCAATGGTTCATGAGTACTAGCATAGAAGAAATACCATTTCATTAATATCTACTTTGATTAGTACTAATGAATTACCCATTTCCTGTCACGGTTTTGGTGCTCTGGCCAGGTATCAAGCTCTTGAGTGACCTCTAATGCAAACATATATCCTCTGCATCCTCCTTCCAGGCTGAGGCTGCACATCTCCTCTCTGCTTTTGCTTCTGAACTCCCATACTCCCAGCGGAGTTTCCTGATCGAGAGAACAAATAATTAAACAAACAAACTATACATATTGTTGGTGATTATCACACGAACATTGGCCAAGCTCAAGCTTAATTAAATAACTTCCTAATAATCAATTAATGGATCTAAGTACATACTCTTAGATTTCCTTTGACCCCTGCTTCCTCAAAGGCTTCCCGACAAGCAGCTTCTAAAACAGTTTCATCATCCTCCCATCCACCCTACTTAAGACACAGACACACACACATTTGAAGTTCATTAATTAAACGAAAAAAATTCAGCAAATCATGAATTAATAGTGATATTAATTTGGAAAAATTAATTAATTAATAAGGTATATATTAAGATGATGTATGTATACTTTTGGGAAGACTCTGTCATGGCGGTCTGGTGAAGAAACCATAAGAACTTGTATCTTGTTCTCAATATCACCACTCTCATCATCATCTTCATAGTTTTCTGTTATCCGGTAAGGAATGCATCTGTTGCAACACGTACAATTACAACCTAGCTTTATGAGTAATACATTATATGAAAAATTAGTATTCAATCCCTAGTTTCTGAAACCTTATCAGTTTTTAGATTTTGATTAAAGTCCATAACATTAATTTATTAATGAACTACATGTCAGTTACATAATTTTTAAAAATAAAAATTAGTAATTGATTTAGGTTTTTAATACTCACACCCTTATTAAACTCCTAATTAATTTTCAATTCAAAACATTTCTATTCCGTTGATTTGAGAATGTATCCATGTTAAGTTTAATAGAAGAAATTTAATAATGTTATGAATATCTTTTTTGTTTTTGTTTGTGTTTTTGAAAAATGTACCCATGTTTCGGTACAATAATTTTTTGGTTAGGTTTGATGAACGTACCCATGTATATATATACATAATCTATTGGAGAGTATAATTTATCTTTAATATTTTTAATTCTATAAATTATGGGTTTTATTTAAAATCTCATTGATATAAATAACTACAAATTTCATTTTTAATTTAAAAATATAATAACCTACATAGAAATACATTATTACATTAATGTCAGGGACTTCAATCAAAAATTAAAAACCGCAAATGTTTCCGTCAAAGAACATTGGTAGTTAAGGATTATATCCAAAGTCTCCCTATATTATATACAGTCTGATATATAGTAATTAAAGTACAATATAATATATATATATATATATATATATATATATATATATATATTATATGACATTATATATCCATTATATAAATATCCAGAGCGAATTACATCTTTTAAATTTACGGTATAATATTTCTCATTGAGAGGCAAGGCAGGCAGCACACAACAATGTGTCTTTAAATCAGTAGAATCATATATTAATTATCATCCTTCTTTCATATGTAAGTTATCTTTTACATGATTGATTTTAGGGTAATTTTATTAACACCCCACAATCTTATGAAAACACCCCACACTTTCATTTTTTCACATGAATTTTCTCTTTTACCCCTATTTGAACTAAATTAAAACACTCCACAATCTTACAAAAACAACGACGTCCTCCACTATTCCACCCCAGAAAATCTGGAGCAAAATACCAACCTCTCACCATGGCACCATATCCTCTCTCTCTCTCTCTCTACAATCCCAAGAAATTGCATGTACTTCTTCTACCCTATTTGGAATTTTGGATGGTTGGTAAAGTTTGGCAACAAGAAATTTGGAGACGAGGTGGGCGAGTTTGAGTGTTGGACGACAGATTTTTGCGACGGAGGTGATGGGGCTGAAGGGTTATCCAATTGGAAGAGTTGAGGTGATGGGTTGTTACCAACTGCATGGGAGTTGTCGGTCATGCGATGTCAACGACGGAGTTATTCAGAGGTAGTGGCCGTATAAATGAGGTTGTTTGCTGTTGACTTTTGTACGAGGGTGGGGGTGTATTTAGAAAAATGAGGGACAAAGTTGGAATTTTAGAGGAATATTTTGGATGTGGGGTGTTTTCATAAAAATGTGGGGTGTGAATAAAACAACCCTTGATTTTATTTTCCTAAGTCCCGACCAACATAACTATTGGATGTGAATGTAAATAACATGTGTTGCGCACATGATGTTAGATATGAGTGTAAATGACATGTGTTGTACACATGGGATTAGTAGCTTACTCTCTAAGTCAATGTATTAAAAGAGTTAAAAGGGGCTTTTCCCTCCATGTATTGTAAGAGAATATAGAAATATAATTGCAGAAATTCTTTGAGATTCATAGCTTCTTCTCTAAATATTTCTTCTTCTTCGTATAATTTGTGAGTTGTTCTTGATCTCTTCAGTGTGTTAAGATTGTATCGAAGCTTAGTTGGAGGTCTCCAATATCTCACTTTCACTCGTCCTAATATAGCCTTTTGCAGTTAATACAGTGTGACAATACATGGGTGCTCCAACTGATGTCCACTTTGCCATGGTAAAACGAATCTTGTGATATTTGCAAGGTACATTTCACTGTGGATTGACATACATTTCTAGTGGATCTTTATTTTTAAATGCTTATAGTGATTATGATTGGGCGATTGATTTAAACACTAGACGTTCTATTACTGGTTATGTGGTGTTCTTAGGAAATAATCCAATCTCTTGGCAATCAAAGAAGTAGTCTTCTGTTTCTAGGAGTTCCACAGAAGCTGAATATCGTGCCTTAGCTCATACAATTGCAAACATTGCTTGGATCAGGTTACTTCTTAAAGATTTACATGTGTTTTTGCATTCTCCTCCAGTCATTTACTGTGACAATCAGTCTACAATTGCTATCAGCTTGAATCCTGTCCAGCATTCCAGGATTAAACATTTAGAAACTGACTTTTATTTTGTTCGTGAAAGGGTGCAAAAAGGAAACTTGTCAGTTCAGTACTTGTGTACTAAAGATCAAATTGCAGATGTTCTCCCAAAGGGCTTGCTCGGACCTGATTTTTTAAGGCACTGTTTCAATCTTAAGTTGGGTTACCCGACTTAAGATTGAAAGGGGGTATTGGATGTGAATGTAAATAATGTGTTGTGTACATGATGTTAGATAAGAGTGTAAATGACATGTGTTGTGCACATGGGATTGGTAACTTACTTTCTAAGTCAATGTATTAGAAGAGTTAAAGGGACTTTTTCCTCCATGTATTGTAAGAGAATATAGAAATATAATTGCAGAAATTATTTGAGATTCATAGCTTCTTCTCTAAACCTTTATTCTTCTTCGTATAATTTGTGAGTTGTTCTTGATCTCTTTAGTGTGTTAAGACAGCACATGCCATTTACACTCCTATCTAACATCATGTGCACAACACATGTTATTTACATTCACATCCAATAATAACATTATCTCTCTTTAAAAAAATTAGATAAATTTAATTATAATCAAGCTAATCCATCCTTTCAACATCATCTTCGTCAATAAATTAAATTGAAAGACCGTTTGTGGAAGATACTTAATGGCTGGAGAGGAAGCTTATTGAGTAGTGCAGGGAAGGAGATCTTGATAAAAACCATAGCACAAGCAGTGCCGTTGTATATTATGCAGACGTTCTTACTACGTAAAACTTTGTGTCAAGAATTAACTCAAATGGTTGCAAAATTGCATGAACTCGGCAAAAGAAGAATTCATTAGGTAAATTGGCGTCGAATGTGTAAGCCTAAAAGTGAGGGGGGATTGGGTTTTAAAGACATATATGCATTTACTCTTGCTTTACTTGCAAAGCAAGGGTGACGATTTATTCAACAACCTAATTCCCTTGCTGCGCGTGTGTTCAAAGCTCACTACTTCCCTAACTTTAGATTTTATGCAAGCTCCGGTGAAGGCAAACGCTTCGTATTGTTGGAAAAGCTTGGAGGAAGCTCGAGTTATCATTCGACGGGGATCCCGATAGAGGGTAGGCGATGAAGCAAGCATCAAAATCTGGGGGGATAGCCTGGGTGCCTCGTGAAATTTTTTTCAAGGTGTTGAGTCATGTTCCTTTTTGGGTGGAGCTCAGTACTACCATGGACAAGCTAATGGTGGAGGAGGGGTGTGTATTAAATGGAATGAAAGATATTTTTTGGGTTAAAACTTGAACTTTGGGCTCAAAAGGGAGTCGGCCCAAAAGAAGGACTAGAAGGAAAGGGGCCCGAAGCCCAGCCAAAGCCCAGAAAGCAGAAAAGGGCTTTTTCCCAACTAGGTGCAGATCATTTGCACCACTTGTTCACCTACCTAGAGACCAAGTGGTGTAGACCAGCCAGCTAATCAGCCCAAAAGCACTTTACAGTGGCAGTACAAGTAAAAAGCTGATGAGTCATTGCCCTTCAAGCTGCATTCGGGCAAGGTTAAAGCTACAGAAGGCCAAGCCAAACTGTCTATAAAAGAAGAAAGAGAAATCAAAGATGAGGACACTCAAACAAACAAACAAATACAAGCACAAACTCTGCTCAAGCCAGATTTGCTTTCAACGAAGCTGTAGTCAGCCCAAGCCTTCATCCATTTCGGGATCAACCCTCACCCAAAGCCTTTGTAAAAGCTCTGCTACCTTGTATAAATCATGTTGTAGTATCGATTTCCTTCTGTAAACTCATCTCTTTATCCCTCTTTCTAAAGCTCTCAAGCCCCTCTATAAATCCCAAAGATAGGAAGTTGCAAGACGACCAATCTTGCCCGACCCTCTTTGTTTTGTCTTTTCATTCATAAGTCTAATAATATGTTGTATACTTCCATTTGTATCCAAGTTAGTTCTATCAAGTTGATGATTAAAAGACTCCTCAGTGCTTGAATCCGAGTGGAATATGTAGTCACAACTTAAATCAGATCTAAGTTCTAAACCCTCGGGCATGTAAGATTGATCATTCAAAAGTCCTTGGTCTCAAGGCATAAAAAAGAACTTTATGTGGACTTAACCCATCCACGACAGTCTTTGATAACAAGAAGTCAGAAATTACTTGGGACGCAAGTAATCGACCTATTTCCTAGTTTTATTTCTGTTATATTATGATTATCGTAGAACGTTTGAGTATATAAGTAATTCTAATGGGAAGCCTCAAGGCCTACACCTAAGGCCCTACAAAAGCACCTATTTGGATGCATTCTGCTCTTCGGGCTCGGGTAATTAGAAGTATATAGTCATAACACTTCTGCAATCAATGAAATAAACATTATATGTTCGAGTACTGGGTTAGTTATTGATGGGAAGCCTCAAGGCCTACACCTAAGGCCCCACAAAGACATATTTCATAACTAAAACAGCCTCTCGGGTATATATACAATTAAAACTCAACATCTGTTTTACATCTACCATGCTATAGATGGCAGTGGCAAGCCTGAACACCTAAAAGTTAATCTTGATTGTGAGCCTCAAGGCCTACACCTAAGGCTCTACAAATGCACCTTTCAAAGTTAACCATGTCCTTTTCTTTCAGCCTTGCCCGACAAGATTTGCCCGACAAGCCCGACAGAAAGCATCAGCCGGCGCCAACCTCTCGGGGAGCTGTGTGCTCGTCGGCTAGGAAACATCCCCAACGGAAATTCTAGCCACGAACAAATATTCTTTTTTATGGAGTGGGAAAGCATTGAACCAAGTAGATATCCATTGCAAAGCTCAAGCGTGGCTGCAAGAATACAGTAAATGGCGGGGGTCCAAGAAGAGCAGCAGGGTGTCAACCCCTCACAAGTGGCAGAAACTGATGTATGGTGGCTTAATGCAACTTCGATGGCCTGTGGGATGAGTTAGGAGGACTTGGGGGGATTGGCGTGGTGGTTCGAAATGAGCACGGAGACTTTGTGGCAACCATGGATGCAAGAATGCGGGGAGCCTGCTCGGCTGTTATGGCGGAGATCATTACAACTCGCGCTGCAGTGAGTTTTGTTCACAACTTGGTGGCCTCTCCTATTGAGATGCAAGGTGATGCATCACTGGTCATCAACGCCCTCCAACATAATGCAGCAGCGACATGTAATGGTGCCTTTGGGCACATTTTAAATGATGCTTGACAGATTATGCAATCGTTCCCCCATTGGAAGGTTACGTTTAGTCGACGCGATACGAATAAGGTTGCCCACTGACTTGCGGGAATGGGTTTAATGTTAGATGACCAAGTCTCATGCATGGTTTGAAGAACCTCTAGATGTAATCAGATGAGTGTTTAGCAAACTGTATTATTTAAAGTGTTGTGAGTCTGATAATAGTGCATAAGCGTTAAATGATTTTTAATGTAAAAATGATAGAATTGTATATAATAACAAAAATAGACATGATATTGGCGGTGGTGACGACGACAGTTGTCGCATGGATAGTGGTGTTGATGTTGGTGGTGGTGGTGGTGGTGGTGGTGGCGACAATTGTAGATGTATGGTGATAGTGCCAATATAGTGTATAGTGGTGTGCGGTGGTTAGGGCGCAGAGGTAACGATAGAGGTAGGGTGACAGTAGTGGCGGTGGTAGCGGTTGTGGTGGCATCTGAGTCTAGTTGCTCGCTGTGTAATTCTTAATTTACTAGGGAATTAAGAAATAAGGTCAAGCTTATGTAATAGTTGATGTATGTATATTGTGTAGATAATGCTAGAGAGACCAAAAAATTTAAACCGAATTTGCAAACCAAATGATGTGGTTGTTGATGATTGGATTATTACTTAAACGTTGATTAACGTACTTATTTCCTATTGATGACACATCATTTAGTTTACAAATTTGGTTTAAAATTTTAGTCTCCCTAGCATTACCCGTATTGTGTATATATGTAATTGGGTAATGCTAGGAAAACTAAATTTATAGATAAATTTTGCAAACTAAATGATGGTCACCAATAGGAATGAACACATTTATCAACGGTTAAGTAATAAACTAATCATCAACTTCCATGTAATTTAGTTTCCAAAATTTTGTCAACAAATTTAGTCTCCCTAACATTACCCTATGTAATTATCATTACGATTTTGTGATTTAGAAATTCTTAAAATGGGACAAAAAATATCACTTAAATCCATAAACATAAAGAAATTGAAGCCATAATATATATGCATGCTAAGGCTTTCCTGGCTACTGTTTCTCAAATTAATTTGCATATTGACTAACTTTCTTGTTTTTGTGATGTTGCTTAATCTGTTTTGCAAGTTTAGACTTTTAAGTTTGGTATTAGAGGGATTAGATTTCATGTCTCCCCCCCCCCCTCTATTTTCCTTATCTTTATTGTTTGCATTTCTAGAAAGGTAAGATTTATGTCCCCCCCCCGGACTAGGTGTAACTTTTATTTCGTTATCAATAAAATTCCCTCTTACAGTCAAGGTTTAAAAAAAAATTATACATATATATATGCATGCTAAGGCACACTAATAGTCGTATATTTTGGAGAGATAACGTTCTTAGAACATGGGTCAGTTGGTACATCACGTGTTATAATACAAGTGGATAAAAAAAATTCCAAGTGTTCCTTTATTTGTTTTATGACACATAATATATCAGCTCATATTCTGAATACATAAAAAAATTTGACTATATTTTGAAGAAATGGAACGGACAAGTGAGAGATGAAGACAAGTTGGTTCCATCAAAGAAGAAAGTCAATTATCAAGGTATATGCATGCTATTGCCGGTGGTCGATCGGGACATGGGAAAAAGATACCTTTGTATATGCATGCTATTGCCGGTGGTCGGGACATGAGAAAAAGATACTTTTGTTTGTATTTTCTTTTGGTGCTTTACTATATAATTATATTATTATTTCTCAGTAATCAAATTATTTTTACTTCATTACGAAACAAGAGCTTATTCCTACCAAAGGATTTTCAATTTGAAGGCAACCGATCGAGATAAAAGACAATTTAATTAATGGAAAACATGACTGATTAAAACAAGCAACGAAAGGCATGCCAACAGTAAAAATAAAGAATAAGCCAAATATATATGAAGCGAAAATCCCAAATTAAAAGGAAAAGAAAAACATGAAAGTAAGGAATGGAAAGAATGGCGAACATATTACATACCCGGAAACGAGGCGGAAATTGTTGTCATATCGTTGTCGCTGTCGCCCAGTTCGTGCCAGTACGGAAGATGACATGATCGTATATTCTTCTACACAAACAATACTTCAAACCGAAAGCGAAAATTAATTAATTACTTAAAAATGATAAGGTGATTTGAATCTTATTAGGTTAAAAAAAAAAAAAAGAAGCAGCAGCAAAAATCACAATTAAAGACATATAAGTGAGGAGAGGAGGAGAAGATGAATTAATATATTGATTTCGTATGCACTTACGTAATTTTTTTATGGATTATGAGGAAACAGAAACTTTACTAGCTTTGATTCATAACATAATCACAAACTAATTAAACCGATCCCCTCTATCGATCAAGAACATCTTTCTTAATTGATGAGCACGTGAAATCGATCGATCATATATATAAAAGGCCAGCAGGTGCGTGCACTGAGAAGAAAGCTTAATTCAGGGCAGGCTAGCTAGCCTGGAATAGTGCAGCTGGCACAACACTGACGTCCTAAAATCCTGTTAACTCCTTTGATTTCTCCCACTGGTGATGAGGTGATCTCTACCAAGAGGCGGCTGGCCGGGCAAGTTGCCAACTGACTTCTTGTATTCTGTCAGATAAGAGAACAATCTACATTCTACCACAGCAACCAAATAGAAGAAAGAAAAAAATTAGCAGCATTCTTTTCTTTTCTAGGAGATAGATGAGTAGGATTAGAAAGGGAACAATAAAGAATAAATATTGATGGAATAATAAGGTCGAGCGAATTTCAAAGAAAGAGCATAACACAGAGAGAGAGAGAGAGAGAGAGAGAGAGAGAGAGAGAGAGAGAGAGAGAGAGAGAGAGAGAGAGAGAGAGAATGAGGTGAGGGCCAGAGATTTCCGCGGGACCAGAGCAACGGTATCCATTTATAATAAAACCGGAAAAGGATCTGCCGGATCATGGGTATCTGGGAGATCCTGTGATCATGACCGTTCATCATATATCATACGATCAGTTTTTGTTAGGTAGTATTTATATTTAATTTTAAATTTTGTTAGGTATGATAAATGGTCATAATCACGGGATCCTCAGATCCCTAGGAAAATAATCGGAACCATGCCAAGTTCATTTCCATAACGTCCCCAACTCCCATTAAGTTATTTTATTATTTTTTGTTATACAATTTTATTAAGCTATATGTTATAACTGATGATTAAATTAACTTATATTAATTAAAATTCAGTTTTTGGTAAATATATCCATCCATTTACCAACTTCATTAGCAACTAGCTAGTAGGAGTGGGAGTTGGTTGGATTGATCGGGTTAGACTTCAATCTATTGGCCAATCCAAGAGGCTCGGTTTGGAATTGTTCAAACTTATTGTCACCCAAGAAAAGTGGCAATCCAACGGTTGGGTGGAATCTATGTGTTGGACTTGATTAGTTTCTTTCTTATTTCTAATGTGAGTATGAGAGACAAATAATCAATAATTATGTCAAATTAGGCCTAATTAAATCATTTAAATTTTGTGTTGTTCTATCATTACATGTTTTTATTATAATTATATGACCACATGCATGGAGAATTGTGATTAATTGTACATATATGCTGCCAAATATTAATTAATATACATGAACAATTATGTCTATTAGTGCACCTTAATTAATCTTCTACTTTATATATTGATTGCTACAGCAAGCTGGCATAGAACTTGAATTCATGATGATCATTTCATTCTTATTTTCCTTGGTGACCATGACTTCGGTAAAGCATGCATTTTTCTTTATAATTTGTTTTGCATGCCTTTTATGTATGTGGAAAGACTTGTAAAAAGGAAAACCTAAGGACAAATTAACTCAAAGTCACCCAAGCACGCAAGTATGCGAGACAAGACTACGCATGCCTGATCAGTTAGGGTATCAAGTGTTGGGAAAGTGCTCATACAAAATAAAGCTAGATTTTAATAGTTAAAGATGGCATGAGAAAACGATAGACAAAGCTTTTTCAATCTGCATGCATGTCGCAATAGTGATCGAGCTAGTCAAAAGTATATCATTTATTTTCATAGCTTTTAAGCCTTTATCTAGCTTGTTAACAACTTTAACTTTTACGAACAGAGAACGCGTCTTGATGCTCGATGAAGTGTCGCGAGGAATTGAGTGGAATCGCCTTTCCTCTTGGGAGTGTATTTCTCTAGGCAGAGTCCGGGTGACACTGGAATTTCTGGCAAAATTAGATCTGGGTTATGGCGGCTTCAAACGAGCTGGGCTAGTTTTTTATTTTTGCTCATTGTTCCACATGTTAATCATTTGGTTTTATGTGACAATTGCAGGAGAAATTTTTCAATGTACTCGGCACATGGGCTAATACATTATATGTCATAATATAAGTGATGAAGAGATACTTGAAACAAAAATTGTCATCTATGACATGTTTTGTAATGGTTTGTGTTCTGAGCACATGAAAAAAAAATCTCTTCAAATGTAAAACCCTTTTTTTCTGGGGTTTGTTTTTTGTACTGAATTTATATTCGGCCCCTCTTAGTGAAATGTTCAAGGTTCTTCTAAAAAAACAACATTAATTTTAACATTAATATTATTATAAGCCCTGATCATCATAATTCACTTTTCAAGTTTCAGTTTTCCCTTGCAGTTGCTGAGTACACTATCAGAATTAAGATGACACGCACTAATAGTTATCAAGTTTAATGGAATTACATCACGGCCTTTTTATTATATACAAAAGAAGAGAGAGAGAGAGAGAGAGAGAGAGAGAGAGAGAGAGAGAGAGAGAGAGAGAGAGAGAGAGAGAGAAGCATTGTGGATGCGAAACTATATAACCCGAAAAATAAAATAAGCAAGGGCCATTCCATTCGTCAATCAATGCGACAAGGATAATGCTTGTGTCTCTAGATTTGTCTTCTCACTTATGATTAACAAATTTTTACTGTCTAAACATCATAAACGAAACAATTAATTCTCATTATTATCATCTAAAGATCATATTGCAAAAAAAAAAAAAGTCAATTTGGAGATTTTTAACCATTCATATATATGCATAAAATAAATTGACAGTTCATCATAAGAATACTATTAATACCAAAATCGTTGATTGGTTTAACACGTATAGATGACTAAACGATCTCTGAATTGAATGATTTTTGGCAGAAGATCTTTAAATGATAATAAAGAAAAATAATGATTCCGATTATGATGTTCGGAAAGTAAAAATTTGTTAATCTTAATTCGGAAGTGGAGAGACAAGTAAGTCTCCCATAAGAGGACACAAGCATAATCCATATGACAGTGACATGATCCGATTTATATATCTATCCCCACATGCATACTTACCTGATATGATCACAGCTAATGACACACCCCGACCCGGAATGTCTACTTGGACTCCAAATCGAGTTGTGCTGGCCGACACCTGGAAGGTGACGAAGCCATAAAGTGTAGTGATGTGGAAAAAGTGAATAAATTAAACCTAAAAGTGCCTAATCAAAAGAGTGCGCGGGATTGAACTCTTTTCACACGTGATGTCAGAGTATAAGACAATATAGTAAATAGGATGAGGGTTATACCACTGAAGGTAACCATCTCCTGGGATTTGCCAAAATCCTCGTATACGCGTAAAGACAGCTACTAAACCTGGAGGGGCGAAAAACAAAGTTGAGTGGGTCAGCAAAACAATGTTTATACGAAAACCTTTATTTTTGAATATACTAACCCTTTGCCGTAAAACAAGTATAGTTTCCTTAAAACATACTACGTAAGTATATAATCAAATATAACAGCAATATAATCAGAAATATGCCAAGTCATGATATATCAAATGCCAAAGTAATATAATCAAGTGATAATCAATAATAAGTAGTTTGCTTATCATCTAAGCTAGCACACGAGTCGGAACTACCTAAGGTAATTATACCCAACAGGATTGGGTGTAATCAAGGCGCTCTAGTACTATGATCATGCGAAGACTGGTGCAGAAGCATGGTCACGTACAAGTCGGATTGCCTAATGCAATCTACCCGACAGAACTGGCACCTAACTTGGATCCAAGGCGAGCGAATGGTACGGATGTGAACATACACGTGAAGAACTGGCCCTGGCCCTGGACGGAGTACTAACACCGGGGTGCAGCAAGATGAGCATGTACAAATATGTATGAATGTCATGACAATAATATCTCAACCATATAGCAGCATTTATCACATTTCATATCACAATATCGAATACTTGGCAATATAAGCATAAAAGTGAAGTAACTACGCATTAAGGGAAACTATCAATATGTATAGGTATAAAATAAATTGCTCACTCACAGATACTTCGCCATTGACGAGCCACGCAACCTAGCAAAGATGGAAATGCCACTAATGTATATTCTCATCCCTACCTAACACGAGGCGTTTTGAGAGCTCACTGGCTTTGGGTTCCATCGGAACTCCGAAGTTAAGCGAGTTCGCACGAGAGCAATTCCATGATGGGTAACCCACTGAGAAGTTCTCGTGTGAGTTCCTAGAAACAAAACCGTGAGGGCGTGGCTGGGGCCCAAAGCGGACAATATCGTGCTACGGTGGTGGAGCGGGCCCTGGATGTGGTGGGGGCCCAGGCCAGGATGTGACAATTTGGTATCATAGTCAATCCTTGGCTGGAAGTGTGCCGACGAGGACGTTGGGCCCCTAAGGGGGGTGGATTGTAAGATCCCGCATCGCCTAGGGGAGTGATCCTTATATGTATATTCTCATCCCTACCTAGCACGAAGCCTTTTAGGAGCTCACTGGCTTCAGGTTCCATCAGAACTCCGAAGTTAAGCGAGTTCGCGCGAGAGCAATTCCATGATGGGTGACCCACTGGAAAGTTCTCGTGTGAGTTCCCAGAAACAAAACAGTGAGGGCGTGGTTGGGGCCCAAAGCGGACAATATCGTGCTATGGTGGAGTCGAGCCCGAGATGTGGTGGGAGCCCAGGCCGAGATGTGACAACCAAGCTTAAGCAAAAGACCATACGCAAATGAATCAGTACTACTACACTGAATGATTTTTCCGATAAATTAAAGAATATAAATCAAATAATTATTTTTTAAATTTTTTATGAACAATTAAAATTATTTTAAAGATAATAAAATGGATTGGTAGCTATATCATGACCAAGTGCGAAGGGAATTCTAGAATGATACGATATAGTATACTCGGTACTTAATTCAACAGACAAAATTTGACCAAAGCAAGCCCCGAATGCAAAGACTAGAGAGCACCACCACCCATGTGAATGCCTTTTTTTTCAAAGGTAGAGTAATTCATTTAACAAAGTTCAGGTGAACATAAAACAGCTTACCACAAGTCTTAAAAAGAACTAATATACAAAAAGTAGGGGTGGGCGCAGTTTGGTTTGGTGCGGTTTTGAGTGAAACCAAAACCAAAACCACAAGTTTTTGCGGTTTGATTCGGTGCGGTTTTGAGGCTAAAACCAAAATGAAACCAAACCATTTGGTTCGGTTTCAAACGGTTTTGGTTTGGTTTCGTTGTTTGAAAAAACTATTATGGTTACCTAATTGATGACAACAAAATTCACATCCACAAGGACCATAACAAAATAATTCAACTTGAGGCAACTAAGAGCACATCAAATCCAATGCCAGTACCGCAAACCCAAACATAAAAAAGATTCTAATAACTCTAGTTTTGGTAGAACCTACCAATCAAACTATGTGAAATTTTTTTAATAACAAAAGGTGGTAGATGTGTTTTAGTAAAGTTGCAAACACACAGAAAGTGTAACATAAAGAAAGTCCAATAACTGCAATTCTGGGTGATCATAACCAATACAAGTGC